ACGACTACAGTCCTTCACAGAATCGGTTCACCAATGTATTCAACTGGAACCTCCCCAAGCCAGTCTACTAGACTCTCTATACCACCCCAACTCAGCCCATTCAACCAGCACCAAAACCACAAGAAGAACGCGCCATAGGAAAACACATCCAAAAGAACCACACTGTCAACGAGTCAAGTAGCTACACCAAATATACAATTGCGCCACGCCACGCGCTTGCCCGCGCGCAAGTAAGCCGCGCCGCGTGCCTCAGGGTCTTCAGGCGCCAGCTGCTTCTCAATCCTCTGCAGCATCTTCTTGTTGGACTGGCGCCACCACCGCCACAAACGCGAGACCCGCGGCGACGCGCAAACAACTCGCGACGTGACGTCGAGTCGAGTCTGTCTGGGAGTGTCCCGGTTAGTAAGAACTGAGTTGGTGTACCTACACACACGAGGTTCAGATGAGATGAGATAGGACTGTGACGACATACATGTTTACCAGTCCCATCTCATTTGGACATAGTGTATCACATCCTATCACCTCCATCCATCCACCATCATGACAGTGGATGGGAGCTAACTGGATCTTCCAACTATATATTCATCTGATCACCAACATTAATGATCCTGACCAAACATCTCAATGCCACCAAGCTTTTTGGGAGGCCTCTCCACGCCCCCACCTTTCCACGGGTCACCCGCCCCCGCCTGCCCGCGCGAGGGCGAGACGCTGAGGGGTCCAGTTCCGGGGCTCGCCTCCCGTGCCGCCGAGTGAACTGCGACCCGCGCGACCGGCGGGTGGGACGGACGTGCTGGGCGGGGTGCCAGAGACGATGAGAGAGGTCTGACTGGTGTCAGCTCCAGCATCGAGCAACAATCGCACAACTTCCAAGTGGCCATTCTCGGCTGCAACAAACAACCCGCCCCCATCTGGGTCGAGTGGTCTTTGAAGCTGTCTTTCAACATCAATGACATTATTTACCCGGCAACTGAGAAGTAGTTTCTCCGAATCAAGAGCACAAAGCGGCGGCACCACCAGCCGCACAGTCGGTAGTGGTCCTAAAGGCACGTCATCCTGCAATTCGCCAATTTCGTCACTAAAGAGTCTTTGCTCAAACCTCGAGCACCCAACCTGAGCTGAAAGGAGCTGCTTTAGTTCCCGAACAGTCTTCCCACTTTCCACCATGCAACGCAACTCGTCCTCATCAAGCTGAGCAACTGTGTTTCCAAACAAAGCTATAACATGCTATAACCTGCCTCACTGAGGTTCAAAAGCGGTGCCAGCTTCGGCGGTGGATCAAGGCCACAAAAACATGGATGTATAGCAAACAAAAGGGAACAGCACGGTTGTCCTGAGGCTGCGAATGAAGACATCAAAAGCTTTGTTGTGGTTTCCATCTGTTTCTTCAAAAGGAGGCTCTGGCAAGGCTTGGTGGTGACTCTTGATGTGCATTGCCACGTTTGCGCGCGTATACGTCGAATGATGTGCGAGCTTCTACCGGGTCTTCACCAATTCCCTGACGATTCCCTTTGGCACGATTTTTGCGGTGGAGCACCTTGAGACAAACCACTCCCATTCGAGAGAACCTCAATGACGAATCTTTTGGTTCTATAACACCAAGACCATGGGTTGATTTCAGGGGTGAATGGCGTGGGCGTGGAGTGTCTGGGAGTCTCGGCAAAAACAACCAATGCCAAAAACAACTGAGTCGTCAAGGACTTGATGAAAACCAGGTGGACAGTCCGGAAACATGTCGCTTCTGCCGTTCGGGACCGAACTTGGATCGAGATTCATCACACCGACATCAGAAACCGTCCGATGCGGACGCCCAAAGAGACGAAGAAGATCATGTGAAAACCACGCGGGTCGCCGTGCGGGTCGCCGTGCGGGCGGGGCCTTCGACTGCTCTTTTTCGAGTTCCTTCTCCTGCGCCCATGCGGAGCCATCCGCACCGCGACTGGCCTTCGAACCCGACCAAGAAACAAAATGAGTTCTGCAGGACTTCAAAAGAAAACCAGGTTCGGCCTGCGAGCTTGGCGAGCTTGCGCCCGAAGCGGGTGGGGACAAAAATACCTGTCTGCGACCTGTCTGGGATTGCAAATATGGCCAACATGACAGGTGGGTTATGGGTGGCTTTCATGTAGGTCATATATATTTGCAGTCCTAATCGGTTGCAGTTGGGATTGGAAAAAAAACACAGCACACCCCACTGGAGTGTGTCGCAGGGTCTGCACCTCGAAGGCCACACTGCGACAGACTACGATCAGTGACCCGACTTCAAGCACTGAAAATGGGCCATTACCCATTATGACCCTATAACATCTATTATATAAATCTATATAACAAAACATGTACTACCATAACCATACCCATTTTCCGAGGTGCGTACCCCATTCTCGGCATCAGTGTATCTTCATTCGATTCGTTGGGGGATGAGGCCACAGGTTGAACAGATCTCTGTTCAAGCGAGATGAGAAGTCATGCCAACTGACATGCCAAGCCAAATGATATGGATGAATTATAAGTTCTTCATGCCAAATGACCTGGCTCCAGGCGTCAAAGCTCCACTCATTTCCCAGGCGAGGCCCTACCGAGTTCTCCAGACCTTCGGACCGGTCCGAAGGGCACCGAACAGAACGGGCCACACTGGTGGCGCCACCAGTAGTGCCGGTATGGCCGGTGGTTTGACCATGTATGGTAGGGCCGGTGGTGAACTCGCCATAGAACTGCGCCACCACTGGTGTCTGCACCCCATAGTACCCTCATGTACCCTCCCTTCTTCCCACCTCCAAGAAAAAAACAAAACTTTAACGTACTGGACGAATCCGAACTGGGCTTTTTTTTTGAACCAATCTCTCCCAATCGGCCATGACACCATTATACACCATTCCCGGTGAAGCAAACTCAAACTCCCCCCTTCACTTAAAAAAAGACACATCCCCCACTGATCCATCTTGCGCGATCGACCAAACCAAACCAGAAACCTCGACCGGCCACCACTTCGACCAGAGAGGTTGCTCGGCCCCACCTCGACCCAGTTCCGCACCGACTGCTCCAGCACACGCGCAGCTAAGAAGCGATCGCCTGGCCGGCGAGGACGGTGATGAGTGACGGACGCCCTACGTGCCGAAAGGGAAGGCAGATGATGAGTTTATTAAATTATAGGAAAAACATAGCAGGATGTGTGAAATCAGACACTGCCTTGGCATAGAACACACACCGTCTTTCGACAAGGTCTATAGAAAAACTCACTATAACTATTATGTTATGTGTTGTGTTGGGTAATTCAATGCAATTCAAACTTGGAAGCTGGCCCATGCAGTTTCTGGGTGTGCACATGTGATCACCCAACAACATCGTGCGAAACTATCTAGAATCTAGACAGAACCAAGTCAACCCTTCTTGAACAGCTCTTGGAAGGCTAGGACCTCCGTTTCCGGTTGATATCTTCTCAGGTCCCACTTGGGGTCTCCTCTTCGCAACACACAGCCGATATGGCCTTTAAAAAAATTCTACCGGGTTCGTGGTGTGGTTTTCACCTCCAAAACATGTGGGTTTCCAGTAGAATGTGCCCTTATCAAACCTTCTGAGAAGGTGGGACTGGGGTGGCTACCAGGAGGGTCCCGTGGGTCGCAAAACGGCGACAGTCGGCAGTCCTTTGTGACTGGCGCCATCTGAGCAGAGTTCATGAACGCAATCTTCTGACATCTCTTGACCCCCGAACACAAAGGTGTCTACCAGCACCGACACCAAGAGGTGCCTAATCGCCTCTTAGAGGTTAAGGGTGTCCAAAAACCACCGGACGAACGGAAGGTCCTGGTATAAATAGCCTCTGAGAATCTCTTAGACCTCTGAGATTCGGGGGTGTCAAACACACCGAACTTGGAAGGTCCTATAGTCTACCGTGTAGACTGTAGACCTCTCATTTGATGCGAAGAACAGGTGAACCTGCAGAGTGAACCGGCAGACAACTCTGCACCCAAAGGGCCGCGCCCCTCAGGGCGCCGCCTGCCAGGTCCATTTTCACCACGGCTGATCATAATGTCTTTACGGCTGCTTGTCTAACAGCCGGTGGTCATCCAGTTGGCGCAACCGTGGAGTTGCAGCGATGGTGACAACAGTGGGCATTTCCAAAAACCTGTTTTCATCATCTTCCCACCACTTTGTGGGCGGTTCTGGCTGCGTGGTTTAGAGTTCCTGGTCATGCACAGGTCAGTCACAAAGTCCTGGTCATGCACACACAGAGTTTTGCTGCATATATTGTATTTGTGGCAAATGCATCTAGAAAGTGGTCACACGAGTCACATAGGTCTGGAGGATCGGTTAGTACGTTAGTATGATAAAACGTCCTCGCAGGTCTCATGGAGAACTGATGCGACTAATGACTAATGATGTATTCTTCTTATAGTTCAAATCTGTCAACCCCACAAGAATAGCAACAATATTTTGGTGTCATTGACTTCGAACACTGGGCCTGGAATGACTCCCTCTTTGTCACAGTCTCACTCTGCGAGACCATGTCTGCTTCCGATCATGGATGTCCTTTCGTCCTTTCTTTAAAAGCAACATCGCTCAAAACGTGTCAAACTCATCGCTACAACCACCACGCAATCGCGTTCCACCGGGAAATCTCACTAACTCTCCGCACCGACGTTGTTTCGTCGAACTCGTCGCGCAACCCGCGATGGACTCGGGGGTCATTCGACAACGGCCGCAGTAGAGGGCTGATCAAGCAAGACGTCAGTGGTTGAACACGGAACAAGTCCATGCTTATAGGAGGGTTTAGGTTTCTAGGTTTAGGGTTTACAGATAACTGCAAACTATTGGACAACAAAAGGGGGCAAAATGGATGATCAAAGTCCAAAGGTTGACTATTTTAGACACTCCATAGGCGGGTGGTTTCAGGGCTCAATGTAGACATGCATATCGAGTGTTTGCCTGTAAATATACACCCGCGAAGATTAACATGGAACCTGAACATAGATTTTTGGAAGACTATTCTCCTCTACATCCCAGTAGTTTTCCATGTGGCTTTCGAACCAGGAGGAGCGACAGAATTGGATCACACCTCCAACTTCAGGGCTTAAAGCTGCTCTCAGATGCCAAGATCGGTCCATCCTGCACCGAAAGACACAGGGTTTTGCCTCAGTGGTCTGCCTGCGGGGTGTTGCAAGCAGCTTGGATGTTTCTGGCATAAGTAAGCACTTATAACTTCTAAACATGCAGCACTGGCTAACATGGACCGTGCCACTACCGGACTCAAAGCTCGTCGCGCTATAACTTCTAAACACTAAAGATAATATGTTGTTTAACAAAACAGTGTAAAGTAAAAAAAATGTAAAGTTAAAAGAGTACACAAGAAAACATGTAACGTTAAACTTAATGTGAAGTTGTCCAACCCTTCTTTAGGTATCACAAGGCGGACGGGACCCAAACCTGATGTCAATGGCATGGGTGAAGAAGAAGGAAAGACAAGGAAGGAACAAGCAAGAAGAAGAAGAAGAAAGGCAAAAGAACGAGGAAGAAGGAAAGAAGGTAGAAGAAGGGTCATGCAAGATGCAGGAAAGTTCGGCACTGGAATTGACACGTTGTGAGTGTTTGTTAGATCAAATGCACGCATTCAACAAACTGAATACGGTACACTCCCGTACCCGTCCTCAAACAATCTTACTTAGAAGTGGAACATGCCTGGAAGGATGATGTTCCTAACTCTTGCCCAGCTTGGGGAGGAATGTCTGATGGATGTCTTAAACAACACATAAACATATATTGAACTGCTCAAGATTGCTCAAGGGTGTTTATGTAGATTCTAGATGTTCCAGAAGTAAATTCCACCACCCGATGGCCATCGCAGCCATGCTGTATGGAACTGCAGGCCTTGGGGTGGGGCTGTCTAAGAGTACATGCAGGATAATGGGACACGTAGACCTTCTGGTGCATTCAAAAAGGCTGCATGCAAATCGTCAAAACAAAAGGTTCCAAGGTTCGGACATGTTCGTGGATGCGTTGAACTGAGAGGTTGTGCCAGTTGCGTTCACGTCAGATCTTCAAGTTCTACTAACAAAATCCTTAAACACCTCTCTCTCTCTCTCTACACTTCACAACTCAGACTTGATCTGCTTAGTGTTTCAGACTGTCATCACCAAACCCTCCCGTCCCAGCGTCGCAGCCGGTGCCTATAAAATGTGGGCCGGCACTGAGGCCGCTGGCCTCGACAACGCTGGAAACCGCGTGCAGCTCTCGGTGGAGAACGATGCTGACGGTGCTCTGCCGTCTGAAAGTATGCTCTGACGGTGCTCCGACGGTGCGGACCTGGAGTTCCTGTGATGGATGTATCTGATCTGGACTCGTGTGGAGGAACATCCTCAGTACTTGGGGTAACACAAGCATACCGAATGGATGGCCAGCGATGAAGGGTAGAAAGGGGTATTCTGGTTCTTGTGATGTTTTTCGGTGGAAGTGCAGCAATTAGTGGCAAGCACCAGTTGATTGAATCACGGTGAAGTGTGGATGTGCTGGTGGTGAAGTGTGGAGGCATGAGGGTCCCCACCCACCCCGCGACAAAGTTCTGGGACATCCCAAACTCATGGCCTTGCATCTTTTTGGCGTTGCACACCAAACCGGAAACTGAAGCAGCATATAAAATCATTGGACATCAATGATGATTTGCTTATAAGGAACCGGGAAAAATGTTCCCCAGAAGGAGATTCACCCATAGGGAAAAGAATGGTCACCCTAAGCAAAACGGAGTCAATGACAGAGAAGGAACCCATCTGTTCTGCGTGGGCTGAGCGCATCTCTTGACAAAAAACTCCCGTCACTATAAAGGCTGACTCCCTCCGTTGATTTCGGACCATGTTCGTACCAAGCTTCGTACCAAGCTTCACCTGTTTCCACGTGTTCTACCATGTTCTACCTGCCTCACAGAAAAACAAGTCGTGTTATTGCCCCCCCTCCAAGGTCGACTGTATGAAACATCAGTTTCACACTCTTCGCGCGGTGGCTTAAGCCCATTAGCAAATGACCACACACTCCTGGTCTGTTTGGTTCACATTCTTCCCAAGTCGGTCCCTGTCTCCATCGGTCGCTCCGTCCAAGCTGCGAGCTTCGGCCGGACCCAAACCCCCCAAACCCAACCGATCGCGCCAGGGGGTGGGCGGGTCAAGGCCAAAACCACGATGTCACTGGGAGTCCCGGTGGTTCCAAAGACTCAAATAGACCGAACGAATCCCTGGTTCCTTATAGTCCGTGGTTTGCCTGGGATCCACTGGGTTCCAGTCCCGAGTTCGGGTCGATGTCTGGGACTCCGCTGGTCTGAATGCTTGGGATTCGTCGGGGGCACGGATCGGGTCGTGGGACCCAGGTGGACCCAGAAGATGCAAACAATGCAGATAAGAACTTGTCTGGAGCCCGAACACCACGGATCTTCAGGTTATATAGAATTGCTAGTACCAGGACCCCCGAAAAAACATAAGGGGTGGTTCATAGATACCCCTTATCACCTCGTGTAGGGGCTTTAAAAAAAGGCACCCACCTTATTGGGGACCCTGGTACTTAATGGAATCAACGTACACAGACCGGCCGACCGAGACCAACGCCGAGCGCCCGGGCAAAGCGACTGCGGACTCGCCGTCCACCTGCGCTGAAAGCGGCTGAAAGCGAGGCGGCGTTCGGCTGAAAGCGTCCGTGGGAAACCTAATAGTAATGGCCTCCAACCTAATTCATAGCGATGGCCCCCATCCTAGTAGAACGGCAATGAGTTACATCATGAAACCCATGAACATGACCCAGTCATGGAAGGAATTCCATTGACCCAAGCCAGCCATGAGGTCCAGCTGTGTAAGTGACCATTCCAAAACACCTTTGAAAATTACCCAAATTGATGAGGGACCGTGGAGGATTGTAATAGTAAATCTGCTTCCGCTACTATGTTTGTGGAATAGTGAATTAATAAACATGGACTTCATGAGATAATGAGGCCCGGCCATATAATAAGGATTGAACATGACCCTAATTAATGAGGCCCAGCAATATATAAGTAAGTATTAAGTTAGTAAGTAACCACGATATACTGTAGTTTTACACATAAAAATCACATTCTTAGACATTCCACGGCGACTGGTGTAAAGAACTCTTCATCGCGCGTTGGATGGTCCCTTGCACATATGGATGGTTCCATGGATGGTCTGGGATAGAGTCATCCGAACTGTCCATCTGCGAAGATGGTCACGGGGGCTCTTGGACCCGAAGCAAAGCTCCAGCTACTTTGGTCGAATCAACTCTTAGGGGTAGGCGGTATCCGCAGTCGAAAAAAGACATAACATACATCAATTTGAACAGGACTCAGAACATAACATAACATAAGATGACATAACATACGTCAAGTTGAACAGGACTCAGAACTTCTACACAAATTCCATGAAATTCACAGAACCACCCCCAATTTGTTCCAGCTCCCAGCTGCTCTCGGTCCTTTGTTCCATGATTTTTTCCGTCCGGACGTCCACACGAAGCTCCGAAGCTGGTCACCGGTTGTTCGGCGCCAAATGGTGTGCCTTTCGGACCGTTTGGGTCGGTTCAAGACATTGAAAGACCATCTTAAACTACAACTATGCCCATGACTGGTCCATGGTTTGGGGTGGTTTTGGGTGGAGGTATAGGATGTTTTTTGGCCATGCCACTGGCCATGCAGTCTCCGGTCGCGTTTTTGGGATTGAAACTCAGAATGTTCAACAAGTTCGAAGATACAGCTGGAAACGACCTGACTTATTATGTGGTCGTGTTCTGATTGATGCATCTACCAGCTTCTTAGAATGGCTTGCTTGGGGATCTCAGTGAAGCGTTGCAGGTCTTGGCGATAGAAAGGGTATCAAAAAGGCGCTCAAGATGATCTCAGTTTACTGTTGGAGATCTGCCAGCACCACCCCAGTTATAGTGTGGTCTTGTAAATGTCTGATGTAAACCAGTCCAGGACATCATCCCAGTACAAAATCCGCCATTCAACCATCCCAAAGAAAGGTACCTGGACTCAAATTGCCGTGGTGAACCTTGGCATTGAAATCGTGGTTATTTGGGGTTGACCAAGCAGGGGGGAGGCACGTACACCTCGTCCAGGGTCTGTTTGTTGCCCGTTTGGGCTCCTTCCTTCGTACCTCCTCAGGTTCGGTCTGACACCCAAACCTGGCACCCACCTCACCTCCCACCTCACCTCCCGTACGACGGGTGTCGCCCAAACCGGTTGGGCGCTCTTCCCGGTACCGGTCCCCGGCCTTCTGCCGCTTCGCCGGGGGCAGTACCACGGCGTCGGGCCCCTGCAGGCGGCAGCGGCGCGGCGGGGCTGGGCCGGAGATGAGGTGTGGAGACCGAAGTGAGACGGTTTCGATAGAAAAAGACATGTTTCAACGTGTGAAACGTGTGTTTCTTCCAAGTGGTCAAAGCTGGTGTTTCAACAAACACTTGCAAGTGGTCCAAGTCTTGTAACCTGCCAGCTGCCAATGGAATGTGTGGGATAGACCTGCACCTATCGGGTTCCATTTTGCTGAGACCGGACCATGTGAAGCTATTGAAGGTTTCTTGGTTTCGGATGGACAAATGCGCCACTGAGAGCTCTGGTGGTTTCTGTTCTTTGGTACGATGGGACAGGGGACAGAGAAGCATTCTGTGTTCCACCCTAGAGCTGGGCACGCCTCATTTGACTCGACTCGATCGCCACGAGGAGCGGACTCGCCACCGGAGCCTCTTCGAAGACCTGCTGTGCCACGCGGATGGCTTGCTGCACCGAGAGCGCATCGCTGGGCCTCAGATTGAAAGACAAACCTAACATGTTGCTTCTGAAAACATATACTTCAGGAGGAAGAAAGGGTTTTATTCTAGAACCGTCAAGAAGAAAATTGTTTGTCCTAGTGGTATAATGAGGTTTCTATCAGCATGGTGCGTGTGATAGGTGCGTGAATGCGGGGAACCGAACGTCATCGACAGAAAGAAAGCTCTTCTGCTTGCGAAGTCACAAACGGTCAGATCATACAGTCTGGACACGTTTCTGTCCAAAAAACAAATACCTCACACTGGCAAATCTTACAGCTCAATTGAGGTGTTTAAGACTATTTAACTATATGCATATAAATCACACTGGATTCACACTGGCAATAAGCTCAATTAAGTTATTTAACTATAAAGACTACAGGTTGTTCCAAGGAAGCTCCTCAAATCCAGTCGTCATGGGCGCCCTCTTCAAAGGTCGCAACAAACGCTCCAGCCTGCAGCACTCCTTTTCATGAGTGTCTGGGTCTTGAAGAATTAAGTTCTTCAAATATTGCTTTCCTTCCGGAGGTCATGCCAACAATAAATCAAGCAATCACAATCAAATCGATCTGGTCATGACAAGTGCTACTCACAAATCCTTGAACAATTGGCCTTCACAGGTGGCCTTCGCCGTGCTTCCGAATAAGTGGCCTCCGATTCTGAAGTCCGCGTTCACTTTCTTACTTCAGACATATGGCAAGTTCAGGATGTCTTTTTGACATCAGCTGTTCAGTGTGGATCTAGGCGACCCCAGCCAACAATCGGTACGTCGGTCATTATGTCCGTCTATATATTTGTCACTGACAAACGGACTACAAATTCTAGAAGTAGCCAACATATGCCAAAATGCTGATAGATCTGACTGAGAGTCATCCTTTTCACCTTGTCCAAGGAACCCAATCCAGCGTCCCCATCCATCGGCCCGCAGTTGTGTGCACACCAAGACACCGAGTGCCCGCCGGTGCCACTGAAACATCTCGGCCTGGCCAATTCGATGGTATTTCAGTCACGTGGCCGGTCAGAAGGTCTTCCTGAAAACGACCAAACCTTTTGAGTCATTCACTCACCAACTATACCCAGACACTCCATGGGACTGCCATATATGCCTACATTGACCCCCCAAACCACCCCAATGTAAGCATATACGGCATACATGGAGCGTCTGGAAACTATAGGGATGTGAACATCCAACGTTGACTCGACCGTGATGCCGGACCGGACCGCCAGGAATGAGTCGCACGCCGCACGAAACGGGGGAGTAGACTGAGTAGATATGACTGGAACAACCGTTGAACAACATCCCCCAAAGGCCAGCACCATCATGGACCATCCTAACTTAAAACGTATTGTTTGGCCATTTAATCATTCATGTTGTACAGCAAAACAACTTCCTCATGAGTTACCTAGAATAAGGTGGGTATGAAGCACATACAGTTTGCAAAAGCTTGCTTGCAGGTCCCTCAGACTCTTAGTCCTGGCTCCTCCGGCGACCCTCGACAATCAACGGGTCGAGGGTTGTGTCTACCAGGCCATGAACAGGCATGAATTCCGAACATAGAATGAGAGCGTCGTGAGCTCCAAACAGTATAATTTACATAATCCAAGTCAAGTAAATGCATATTGCATGAACTTACACAATGCTAGAAATCACCGTGTTTAATGATGTGAGTTGCTTCTCGTCTCCTCAAACGTCCTCATGAAGCCACATGTCATGTCAGTCAGCTCCATGGAGGGCCTCGGAAGCGGCCCGTGCCCGGCATGAGCTGCAGCCTAGTGCGGAGGGCCAGCGTAAGCAGCGTTCGAGTCAGGAGAAAAGCAGGAGCTTCACTGCCAGAGGTTAAGTCACTTAAGGGTTGTTTCCCTCACTGCCAGGTTAAGTCACTTGAGGGTGGTTTGGGGTCCTGTTGGAGATCGAAAAACATGGGTGACCTGGCAGTGAGGGGGTCCTTGCAGTGAAATTGCCAGCTATGCTGTCAGAAGAAACCATCTTTGGCTTTTTTCCAGGAGCAAGTACCAATGATGAATGATGGCGCATGAAAAGACTTATGGGAGGCTTCGTTTTAACGTCGGCTGCTGGAATGCCAGGGCGCCACCACCGTGAGGGAAACAGGTGGCGCCCAAAAGCGAAGCTGCTTGTTCGGGAGGGAGAGTGACTGAGAGGGTCGTCCTAGCGCCAAAGACCACCGGCCACACCACACCATACCTGGATCTTCCAACTGTGCAATCGTTCTGCCTTAAGGGAGACCCAGGAATTTTGCTTGTGAACGTGTAACGAAACATCGGCTCCTCCGTTTTGGAGCTTGACATAGTTGAAGCTTCGGTTTGAGACTCTCTGACACATCGGTGTCTGCACATCTGAAGAGATCAGCCAACCTTTTTGTTTTAACTTGTTTTGGTGTATAGGACTGAAAGGATTTGATCAGGATCTTCCTTCTTTTGACGAATTCGCTGGCGTAGCTGGCGTCGCTCGTCTTTGAAGAAAACAGGTTGGACACAGTTCAGCAGGCCCTGGCAAAACAGATCAGAGGAGTACCCTCCCTCCAACAAACGTGCACCCCAATAAGCTCTCGGATTCAGGGTAGTCCATGTTCAGAGTGGTTACATGTTCAGAGTGATTACACTCTGACTAACATGGAAGTGGACCATCTTCTCCGGTCTGGTATGAGGATTTCGTGGTCTTTCCAGGGGACATACCATCCAGGGGCCATCGAGGATGTTGGAGGGAGGGTATTCAGTTAGGTCCCAAAAGGGTACTCAAACACACATGTAAATGAACATCCAGTGCTCATGCGTCGTGGTTTTGGAGAGCATTAAGACTTGAAGATGCAATCAGGACCACTTTGAGATATATCGACTTGCATGAGGTGACGTCAATGACATGGGGGGATGCAAGAACATGCATTGCATGTCATGCATACGCCTGGGATGCATTCAAACGTGGACAACAAAAGGAACATAGATCACTTAGATGGACAGTAGTGAGTGGTCTAGTGCTGTAATTGACTGGGAACAATGCCTCTTGCTGTTGCAAGCCCCATTGTTATTTGTCATGGGTCATCCCACATAAGAAATATAACACACTCAACATTTGGTATGGCCACAGCTTCTAAAAAGCAGAGAACTGCAAGTCTCGGCGTTCCTTCCCAGAGTTTATCCAGCACCCAGTCCATCTATCCCAACCAAATCCCGGGAACATGTTCACACTATGCGCTTTCATGACATGGGATCCACCGAACATGCGGTTCGCTCTTCAGGACCGAACCAGGGACCGAACACCTCTTCCTCTTCGCTCCGTGCCCGGAACTCACCGGTCGCTCCCGGCCAGAAATGCATCACCACGCCAGGGACGATGCCCAGGCCCTCGGGACCTCGGCATCTTTTCCCGCTTCGGAGCGGTGCAAGCAGAGCACTGCAGGCAAGGGAGTCAACCTCCAAGGACCGAGGTCCACTTCGTAACGAACTCGGTCCGTACTGAAGAAGTTGAACGGTTTCGGTGGGTGCCAGGCATCGGAAATTGGTTGAATATGAGGCCTATAGGAGTATATATATATATATCACATTAAGCTCTCATAGGTATAGTAATAGTAACCTCCTATACCATACCTATATACTATATCTCCTATAAGGTATAGAAATTATCTCCTCTGTACATTAAGCTTCCGCAGCAAGGACCATCCAAGGCCGAACTCGCCGTTTTCCGGCGCTCCGGAGCGGCGGGCTTTTGGTCGACCCATCGACCGAGTTTCTGCGGCATTGACGTGGAGAAACGGCATCCCAAACAGGCAAGCAGGATTTTTCATTGGTTTGGTTGAACCATGTTGAACCTGTCATATCACAGAAAAAACAAAACACACCGTAAAAAACACCTATACAGTATACAGCTCCTTTTTGCTGCAGGCCCGGTGTTTCTGAAACATGAACGATGGGAATGCTTCGCGTTTTGGTGCCATGGGCAGAATTGCACTGTGCACAAGATACAGCTGACGAGGCTGGAACCCGTGTGCTGCCGTGTAGTATCTGTCACCAAAGGACCTCTTTCAATGAGTCGCGCTGTGTGTGTGTGTTGAAGGGCAATGCCAATGCTATACTCTGCAAAGAAAACAAACAGCTACAAGTACTCCAGTGTATGAAAAGGCTAAAGAAAAATCGGGACTCTCAAACTCAAACCCTTTTCACATCTTTTCACTCTTGTGGATGTCAAGGCAATCCGATTGCAAGACTTCTAGCTCCTTTTTCCGACTTCCCTTTGCGGAAGTAGACGTCATCTTCTGGTCACCATCGCAATCAAAGTCGTAGTCCGCCACTACACACTGTGGGTCAAAACCCACCCCCCAGCAACAACTGTTGAACATCCAAATGGCCATTAGCAGTCGCAATAAGCAAAGCCGTTGCCCCAGAAGTTGTTGCTGCATCTTTGTTAGCTCCAGACTCCAACAATAATCGCACGACTTCCAAATGGGCCCTGTCCGAAGCAATCATCAAAGCCGTTGTCCCGCTTGTTGCTGCTGCATCTTTGTCAGCTCCAGCCTCGAGTAACAAACGCACAACTTCACAGTGGTTGTTTTGAGCTGCAATCATCAAAGCCGTTGCTCCACGAGCCGTAATTGCTGCATCTTTCTCAGCTCCAGCCTCAAGCAACAATCGCACAATTTCTGAACGGCCCTTGTCGGCTGCGACAATCAAAGCCGTTGCACCTTGTGTCGTTGCTGCATCTTTGTTGGCTCCTGACTCGAGCAACAGTCGCACAACTTCCAAGTGGTCATGCTCAGCAGCAAGGATCAATGCTGTTTTCCCATTTGTTTTTGCTGCATCTTTGTCAGCTCCACCCTCCAGCAGCAAACGCACAACCTCAAAGTGGCCCTTGTGAGCTGCAATCATCAATGGCGTTGCCCCATTGGCTTTTGCTTCATCTTTGTTGGCCCCAGCCTCGAGCAACAACCGCACAACTTCCAAGTGGCCATTCGCAGCTGCAACGAATACACCTTCCCCATTGGGGTCCTGCGGTTTTTGAAGCAGTCTTTCAACAGCAATGACGTGATTTTCCTGGCAACTGAGAAGTAGTTCTGCCTTCGCAATCGCATCAAAGGCACAAAAAGGCAGGATTGTCAGCCGTACTGTCGGTAGTGGTCTTAAAGGCATGTCATCCTGCAGTTCGCCAAAGTCGTCACTGAAGAGTCTTTGCTGAAACCTCGAACACCCAACCTGTGATGAAAGGAGCTGCTTTAGTTCCCGAACAGTCTTCCCACTTTCCAGCATGCAACGCAACTCATCCTCATCAAGCTGAGCAACTGTGTTTCCAGACAAAGCGATAACTTGCATCGTTCAAAAGCCAGAGGTGCCAGCTTGAGCATCTTGAGCCATGGTCAGAGTCAAGGCCAAAAGGACCGCAGAAAAGGATGCACAAAAGAAGAAAAACAAAGAAACACGTGAATTCACGAGTTATGAACATGTATGTGTTTCTTGCAGCAATAGCACACTCCAAAGCACCCATGATTTTCCGGCCCTGCCCCATTTCCCGTCCGGTCCCCGCCAAGGCGCCGCCGACGGCGTCGAACTGCTGCTTCAGCGGTTCGGCGAGGTCATAGGGCTGGAAATACACGTCCAGCCTCGTCAGCGCAGACCGTGCGGACGGTCACAGACCGTGCGTGTGTTCACGCGTGCGCAGACTGGTCACTGCTGTGACTGGCGAGGAAGTGTTTGCTGCAGTGGCGGGTGAACGTGTGGTGCCGCTGGGGACGCTCTAGGGGCCTGAAAAAACGAATGCGCAAACTGCTGGGGATGGTGCGCAGACTGGGGTAGATTCACCACCATCTTGGACTTCCAGAGACGAAGCTCCCAGACTCCGGAGATTGGTAAGCTGATGCTGACATAGAAATGACATAGATTGGTCTGAGTTGGTGGGCTGACGACCAAATCCCTTACCACTTGAGGACCCTCAAAGAATTCTTGTTCCCTGACAACCTGGCCCCGGAACCAATCAAAAGGGAGGCAGCATCCAAACCCTTCTGGATACTGGAGGGTCCCTGGATTCTTATGGTTGTCCAATCAATGGGTGTGCCTGGTGCAGGAGTTTCTCCACCAAGGTGTCCTTTCCAAGAGATGTGCTGCCTTCTTTCTTGGGCCAGTTTCACTCTGCAAGCCGATACCAAGCCTTCTGGGAGGGTGGTTTCAGCTCGATTGAAAAATATATCCCAGACGCGACCCATGGGACTGCCATATTTGCCGATCAGTTGGGGTGGTGCCAGGGGGTCATTGGGGCGGCATATATGGCAGTCCCATTAGTCGTGTATGGGTATTGTAGTAGAACATAGTAGAACTAAAAGAATCTGTAAACCGCCGTCCCTAGATCTTGACACATGGGAGTCTGGGAGTCGGCCAGTGAAACTATCTGTTCCTTTCATCTGCATGCTGTCACTTCTAATCTTGCGAATGATGGGAATTACATGGAGTTTCTGCGCTCTGAGTTTCTACAGCTGGGGGTCTTGGACCTAGAATCATCCATGCAAAAGAAAGCGGAGCCTTGGCCGGTTATGTGCCATCGGTTGCAATGGTAGTCATACAATTGGCCAATGCCCAGCTTCATTCAAAGGTTATTCAATGTAAAACTGCTCTTTCAGTGCCTTTCCAACAGCTCGTAATGATTTGAATCCCAATGATCCCAATGACCTTGACTGGCTGCTGAACATCGCTGAAGTGGTCGCATAGTGCGCTGTGTCACAGCGCACAGTGTGACCACTTAGGGACATCGCAACTGGAAGCTTGGGCCTTACCTTTCGCATCAAACTCTGCACAAGCCCGCACTCATTCCCTAGGGATCCAAGCACCTTCTCAGGAAGTGATTGGAGACACTCTTATGTAGGTTTTGAGGGTCCTGTCGTACCTTCTGAGGTAAGGTACGACAGGATCCCTAGGGACTAGCATAGGACTGCCGAGAAACGGCCAGGGGTGGTGCGGGGGTCTGAGGCGGCAGTCCGAACTGGCAGTTCCAAACAGGTCGTGTCTACACCGTGGAAAACTCACATAGACCCTGAAAACCACTGGTTGGTAGAGGCAAACACTCTTCCAGGGGGCCAGGGTCTATCAGGGTCTATGTGAGTTGACGTGTCTAGAGTGTATATGTCATGGAGACTCCAATCGAACAGCTGCCGTGGACACTATCCAGGTGTCCCAAGCTGTTGACCTTCGACCGTCACGAAGCCGTAGCCTGCGGTGTGGTCACTGCGTCACCGGACGTCCGGGAGGTCCCGAGGGGTGCGACGTGGGCCAGGCGGTGATCACGTTTGGGAGGAGCAGCACGTGTTTCCAGGGAGGGAAACGACACCTGTTCTGAAACGAAACATCGGAATCACAGCAGGTCCACACAAAGGTTGAAGGATTCTACTGATGGTAATAGACTATCCCAGTTGGGTACCCCAGGTGACGAGTCCTAGTTCAGGTCACTGGCTACCTCTCTTGGTTGCCATGGCCGCTGGGTGACCTGTGGCCATGGCCGTGGTCGTGTGGGCTCTACATGATACTACTGGTGATACGTCACATGGTCTATATTAGATTCATTCATGTTCAACATGGAGGCATGAATGGAGGCATGAATGGAGCGTGACTCATAAGTATAACACCCTAGAGCTCCAAAAATCCAGTAGAGCATGGTCATTTACCCCAGTATAGTGTTATATAGTGTTCTTATATGATCGACTCCAGTATAATGAGGTCTTTGACCTGTTGGGCTCTATGTGTTTTTTTGACGGTATGAAGTCCACAGATCTCACTGAGCCAAGCCCAATGGCATCCCTGGCGCCAGTCTCGCGCCTTTCTCATGGTTCCACGCCTGATGCAGCACGGAATGCATGCTGTCTCTAGTGGCATCAGTCGTGCAGCAAATTGCAGAAACCCCAAAGGGTCCAGATCCCTCCAAAGGATGCCGTTGCCCTAGCATGCAGCCTTCAAAGTATTGAACAACAATAGCTGACCTTCGTTTGGCGTGTAAAACCCGTTATAAGTTACAACCCCGTTGACTCGTTGAGAGAGACAACTTATGGCAAATGGCCTGTGGTGGGTTCTGCAAAGAAATGACGTTATGGTTACAGTATATACGTATTACAGTTAGTTCATGATAGTTCAACTGTTTCGCCAACAACGGTCGGGTGCAACCGTGCCAAATGTGATCCTCAAGCACCATGGTCCACGCCACACAAATTGATCCACGGTGTTTCAGCCACCCTTTTTCACCCCTTTGGCCCTCTTCTGCCTTCATGGTACCTAGCAGCTCGGCACCCGGGATGATCTTCTTCTCCGCCTGCGGCGAAGCGGCGGCTGTAAAGCAAGCAGTTTCAGCCGAAGTCGCAAACTTAAGCACATTTAAGTGAGCAGAAATTCAGATCACCAGAAATCCCTGAAGCGTACTCAGTTGCTGTTGCTGGAGAGACATTCAGATCAGAACAGCTTGGCCAAGCTGCCTGGCTCCCAACGGCTCCCAACTCGCATGGGTTTGACATGGCATAACCCACCCAGAACCGCCGAGGTATCACTTAGAGGTATGCTATAGCTAAGATACCAGCAGGCTGAGACTCAACCCTCTGTACGCAAGGGCTGGGCACTTCCCTGATTCTAGGGATGTTTAAGACCTATAGATCTTAGACCTGCCCACCTGCTGCAAAGCCCCACCAATCCCGAACTCTTCGGAGCTGTCCAACTTGATCACACCACGGGTCAGGTGATTCATCCGGTTCGGACTTCAGGGGAGACCCCTGTTCTCCCCATCCAGATCTCTCTCTCTCTCTAGATCCACTCCTTGACACGAGCTATTCAGGTCTTCGGGCTATTTGGAGGTCTCCCTATGGGTGTCTCCTGGTCTCCCAAAAAATGGATCACATACCAGGGTCATCCAATGGGTGTCCAATAGACTACCCTACGTAAACAGGTCTCCATTGGGCACCCATTGGAAGTGCCAGGCACCCAAAACTGGGATGATCTGGGCCTCCTGGCAAGGCACGCCGTCTGAAGTCAACATCATGTCTCGGGCGATGGAAAGTGCTTGAGACCGGTAGGCATAGGCCATCCATCCATGCATCCATCCATGCATCCAGTTAACAAATAGCTAGTAACTAGTACACAGTACACCTCTTATATATAACAAACCACACATACATCATCCATCCAGCAACACATCCATACATCACATCAGTATACCAAATTCGAGTGTCGCATTCTCCGCCCTCGTCTTCAGTTCGCTCAGTCGGGTGCCTTCATTAGACCAGGCTTCGCCGGGTCGGCACCTCAGACAGCGACCGCGCCGCGGGTCGCCCCGTGTAGCGATTGCAGCGTGGCTCACTTGCAGCTGGGTGGCTCTTGCTGCCCTGGCGCAGGAACATGTAGAAGTCAGAATTGGTTGCTTTGGGGCCAAGTTTTTTTCTTTCGCATCCTGTAGCCAATCCGTTGAAGCCATCAGCACGGTTGATTGGACATATCATGCTGGCTCTCGTACCTTAGTCGTGCCTCCCTTACTACGGAGATCTATAGAGATTGAACACTAGCTACAAAAGGTGTGTATATATATTATGTTTATAGGGAGATCCCCAACCAACAGCATGTTGTGTCTTACTTTCTTCGGTCTTTGGGAGGGATTCCCAATTTCAATACACACCCCTTGTCTTATAAAGGGAGCTCCCAGGTTCAACCTTCAAACGAATCCAACGAGTCATCCGTCTCGTCACTCTCGTCCCCCTGAAGGATCGATGGCGAGACAACTTCCGCCGGTTTGACGTCCACGCCCACGCGCTGCGTGCCATCGCCCGCAAGCATCACCTAGCGGCACATCGACGTCGCCGCGGCGACCCACGTCGAAGGCAGCCCACAGAGGGTGGCCCTCCGCCCAAACGTCCGCCGCTCGACCGGCCCAGTCCCCCAGCTCGACCGCAAAAGGAAACAGCTCGATGATGCCGGAGTCGAAACGGAGACCGAACCGCTCGGGTGGAGTCTGTTCCTTCTCCACCCAGAAAAGACACGACTGGAGCGACCGCCTCAACACGTCCAACACGATGCCCCATCTGCGCCTCAACACGTCCGTCACGGTCCACCTAGGGTGTCAAGCGGCCTCTTTGGCGTGCCACTGGCCGTTGATGGCGGTCAAGCGGCACCAGACCGTGGTACCCGCCATGGCATCACAGCCCATCTGGCGAAGCGGAGGAGAACGAGAGTGGCGCGACGTGGGTAGGCAGGGTAGACACTCCAAGTCACGAGAGTGGAAAAGGGGGTTATATGGAAAACAACAACGGCCTGTCCTGTCCACTTGTGAGTGAGTCGGAGGGTTTTGCTTTAAGGAGCTTGTACTAGGCTATATGATCTCTTTTTGTTGCCTTTTGTTTGTGAATTTTCTGGTTTCACCACCATCAACCACCATAACCACTTGCTCGTCGCTTCTTGGTCCACAAAATAGATGTTGACAGGTGCTCACGAATTACGTAAATCACTCATTTGCCGCTACAAAACCCGCCGTTTTACCATGTCACCTTCTGTTCCGCTACAAAACCAGCTCGACCATTTTAAACATGGGCGCACTCACCAGAAGGACTTTCAGCCGACTCTCAAGGTCCTCAGCCAGCGGACTCCACACCTGTTGGAGCTTGTTCTGCAGCTCCACGGACAAATCGCTGGAGGCACAAAGCAGGTCAAGGCCCTGGAAGCGATTCCCAAGACCCAGGCGGTCTTGAGCGACTCCCAAGACCAAGCGAACTTCTGGTGGGTTGGAAAGAACCACTGGTGGGTTGAAGAGCTTACGAATCATGACATGTCTGCTCCGTGTGGGTATATACATCGACTGACTATGACGCTCCACACTGTGGGGAGAGTTATGAAGTCATCCTCACGGGGCAGGCTGATAGATTTCGCCTCCTATAAGAACTCCTATGAACCCCTTCATGGCCACCACCTATCCTGCAAAACGTTTATTGAGACATTCTTTGTGCGACGTGATGCGAGTCTTGAACTAGCCGACCAGCAGCCTCTCACTAGACTCGTTGCAGAAGTGTCCGCCACCTTCCTGTGATTCTGGAACCTCCCAGACTCATCACCAGCTGCGGCCCCGCGCCGGCGCGCCAGGGACATTGATGGCGCCAGAGCCCTGAAGGCCGGGCATGGGCGCAAAAAGTGTCATTCAGAAATGGATAGGATTCCAATGATTCCAACAACCATTATCATGGATTTAATGGTTCTTACATGTTCTTGCCGCACACGTCTGAAAGTCACTGACCCAGCAGAGGACTTTAGATTGCCAAACCAGAATCAACCTTTCTTTTAATGGTCTTCGAAGGCTAGAGGATACCTGTTTTAAGGTTAGGCCCAGCCGGGCCTATCAAGGCACAGTCTCGTGTGACCAAGGTCAATTACACTCCGATTCAGCAACATGGAATTGGATGGCATGGCCACGGGAAAGACCATGTTCATCTACAAACAGGTAGGTGGTGGACTATAGTTTTTTTCCACTTGGATCCATGTTAGTGAGTCAGACAGTCAAAGTGTACACACTCGTTTTGATCAGGTTCTCATCTGGTTCATCACCTGAGTCTCGATATCTGATGATTGATGGAAAGCGTTCCAATTCCCTCCAGCCGGCGTTTCGGCAAAACCAATCACATCGATGGATGGTCTACCACAATTCACTTCATCCAAATCATGAATTGTCATGAATTGTCCAATCACTCCATCACTTCACTCCATCACTTCATGATCATTACTTCATGATCACTCCATGATCACTCCTATCCTGTGTCCGCAAAGCTTTTAAAGGACAATCTGAATCAACTTCTTCTGGGAAGAATCTTCTTAATTCTTCTTCCACGTCTACTTCTTCTTAATTCTAAATCTACAATCTACTTCTTCTGAATCTTCTAGGTCGCTCTGCCTCCCCTCCTCCGCGGCATCACGTGCCCAACCTTATGCCCAACCGAACGCGCAGCGACCACCGCGCCTGCTCGTTGAACATCCGGACGACCCCCGCCACCGAAGCGCCTTCGTACAAGGTGGCGCCCGCCTAGCGTGGAAGAGCTGAAGAGCTGAACAGCGCAGAGCTGGAAGAAGAGGGGAGTTCCAGGAGTGGAAGACCGGCTCGGCCAAGCCTTTTTGGAGCATGAAAAAACCTCCAGGTCCTTTGAGTCCATCGTTCCTGATCCTGTGTATGGTCCCCAAATTCGTAAAACAATGGCATGCAGTGGCCATCAAACGCCAGCGAGGCCAGGACTTCACAGCCAGAGCAAAGGAGCTGCCTTTTCTTTGACAGAAGAACAGGTTGAAGACCATGTGAGGATATTATGTGCGGCATCGGCATCTGTTGTTTATCACCATCATGAGAGAGCCTGGGGGCTCACGCTAATTATGTGTTGGGGACAAGTTGATTAGATGGGTCGCCTATACGGCCTATAGTCATACGCAACGCTCTCATCTTTTCATCATGCCTTGTATCTTCTCATACGATGCCCAAACGCACCCAGTACCCCCGAATGCGCACTCGGTCAACCACGTGCAACACCCACACACACGTGGGTACACAGTCTCCCGCAAAACCGGGAAGCGACCTCTGCCAGGTTCACCATCCGCCCATGCCATCGCCCATCGGGCAAGACCTGGCGGTGTGAAGAGGATGGCGATGAGATGAGATTAGTTCAGGGCCCCCCGGAGCCAAGGGTGGTTAATGGATACCTCCTTATCACCTCGTGTAGGAGCTAGAATTAGACACCACACGACTTCGGGGGCCCTGGTATAGGTGTAACCTGTGAAGAGATCCACCCAACTCCTCCCAAATGAGTACAAACATGCGTGAACAAATCCATGGGTCGGGCCACTAGCCCAGCCCCGAATCATCAAAAATCAGTGCACCAGTAGTTTCAAAGGGATGCCTACAGTACTGGAGGGTAGCTGGTGACTAAAAGCCACCCCTTTGTGACTGCTGGCGAACGTTGATACTTGGAACCTCTGAAGCCTTTAGAAGGACGTTCAGACTCCGGACCCCTGCATGAGGGTGCGATACATGGCATACCCGCACACATGCGATACATCTGGAGAAGGGTTTACAGGAATATTCTGCTGGTTTGGATCTGATCTGTCCTCGAAGAGAAGACCTTATCAAGGGTTTTGCAGCATGGAATTTGATGAATGAATGCCAACTGCATTGCTGGAGCATGCATTCAACGAGTTCCCACTAATTCTGGTTTTGTCGTGTTCATCATCGCGGTTCATGGTTAGATCTTCAAAAAGGATGCATTTCCCGCCCAGTCTCTTCCACCAACATCTGCTAGTTTCCCTTCCACCATCTCCGCCCTCCATCCACCACACCGCGGCTTCCATCCCACCGCGGCACAGAAACATCGCCGGTCGCCGGTGGGTATCGCAGACTGGGGCGCCTCCACTCGCAGGTGTGCGGTACAATTTTGGATGCCGCGACCTCACCGGCATCGGCGTTGTCTTTGGGAGGAGCCCTGCCAAGCGCCCACCCAAGGCACTCTTCTGGGTGACCTAACAAATCCAAATAAGGCCAAAGTGAAGTCATGTTGGTCCTCCACCACCGTGACCCTCGGGCAAAACCGTGGATAGCTGGGCTGAACACCAAGTCAGCCAATCCCTGGTTCCATGTATACGTTGTGCGCGCGAGAAGAAAGTACGTTGCCTTAAAACCTGAGCGACCTGGATTCTAGACCACACACCACCCCCAAAAAATATGGTCCCTATATGTCCCTATACACTCTCAAGCCCAGGGGTCATGTCTAGGCCCAAAAAGCTCTAGCTCCCGCACTGTCACTCCGAGCTCCGTCCCTTCCTTCCCCTGCAGTCTGGCGGTTTTTGGCCGGGCCGGACTCTCGGACCGGACTGTCCGCTCCAACTTGCTTGCTCGACTCCCTGAGGGTTCCGGACCACCTAGCCACGTGAGCCTCGGGGCCCGAAGGCTTCGCCGACGAGGACGAGGCACCGGTCAGACACGTGGGTTCTCCGTGAAGCATCTTGGCACACCATGGTTTGAGGGAAGTAAGTGGTGTTTTGTAAAGAAACGAAGGATTGCTAAGCCAAGAAGAACATAAACATCTGAGAGTACAAGTCTCCCTCAAAGTAAGTATTCTCAAGAGGATTCAACCCTTTTCAGAATCTGCCAGCTGCAAGACCTGGGGATCGGGACTCATGCTTCTTTCTGCATGTGTTTAGAGCATTCCTGCACATGCTGATCCAAGGACTGCTGAGGCCACCCTGACGAAACCCCCCAAAGGGTGAGTGATGCACAAGATCGACCCAACAACCCAGACGACCCCAGAGACAGCTCAAGCTCTCATCAGGCCTCTCATCAGCCCCCTTGTGGCCGACCCAAACCGTAGGTGTTGTCCAATCCTCATCTATCTCCTCTCAAGGCCAGGAGATATCGTTACCTCTTCCACATGACTTCTGATGACTTAGAATCTAGACCCTGAATGACCTCGATTTTGGACCACCAACCCAAAATATTGAAAGTTGGTCCTTTCTGATCAAAACGGGGGTCAAATTTAAGTACTCATCCTGATCCTTCAATGGCTTCAATATCAACTTGCTTGGCTTCTGTAAAGGTTTCGTAGATTGGTGTTCCCATGCATGCTTCGCGCATGCACACACACATACAAACAGGCTTACTGATACTGAGACAGTGCAGGTTTCGCAACTTGAGTCTCTTTCAACTCATGAGTGTTCAGTGGAATCGTCTCAGAGAACATAAAACAAGAAAAGAAGCAAAGCACTCAAGAGCACTTTACTGCATGGTTCCCAAAATGTCCTTAACTTGAATCTTGTTGTTTTCCTCAATAACTTTCCAACCAAACAATTCAAACTCTTAAACCCCCCAAAAGACACCATTGCTGAAACCTCATGAGAAGTGTCTGGAAGGTGAGCGAACTTCCCCTAGCTTCCCTGTGGCTAAGCGGCTAAGCTCCCCAGGCTAAGCTCCCCTTCCACCCTCCCCACTCTCGAGCGCCCCCACAGAGTCTGTGACGCTTCGTCCATATCCCGTTTCCTGGGGCCAAAGGACGAACGTCGAGGGGTGAGAGATCAACGCCCCACCAGCGCCGGGAGTGGCCGGCCCTTGACCTATACGTTGCAGGTGAGTGGGTTTTGGGGGGGCTGGTCAATATGCCAGCCCCTCATGTCGCGGTCGTGTTTGGGATTGGCCGGGTTGCAGTCCGTCGCATCCGTCGCAAATAGATCGAACCGTAGAAGATGTCGGTTCGAATCAAGCTCTGTCTGATTGAGCATGACAGGGTGTGTTTTTGTTCTTCTCTATTCCAGACCCAAAGCTGGAGTCACTGGTCACTGGTCTGGTCTTTAAAATTCCAGGAGCAATAAATACACAAGCTCGTTGCAAATGTGTTACATTGACAAACAAAGTCCATGCGCCCGCCGAGGAAAACACTCATCCTCCAAATCCTCCAAGAGGTGACCCAAGAGCTTCATGCACCAACCCAAAGCTTCAGTGACAAGTCAGCAGCTCAGACTGTCCAACCATGAAAGCTGAATCTTCACTCACTTATAGTTGTGTAATGTTGTGTATAATATGTTCTTTTTCTTTTGTTTCATTTCATGTAATTATACCGTATGTCAACCAAAAATAAAAATAACCCATCATTAGGATACAATTAGGATATAGGCAATGCGGCATAGCAGGCATAACAACAAAACCACTTATATCGGATCCCCTGTATGGTTTAACAGGCCCTCACACCAGACGTATCCCGCCGCTTCGCGAACTCTGACTGAACCGTCTCAGGTCTCGGTCTCCACGCTGGAAGTAGACGTCCTGGGAAAGGAAAAGCGGCGGTATGGCAGGTCTCACCCGAGCAGGTGTTTTTGTTCGGATGAACGACCTGCCAACACCTCTGAATGATGGCAGTTGGTTGGGTATGGCGGCAGTTTCCAAGAGCCAAACACCTCCTCCAAACACCTCTGACCTGCTGCACTTCCCAGCCATGCCCTGCAATGAAGCGACGTCAAAGTCGAAGCGACAAGTCTTCGGTCAATGATATCACAAGTGGAGCTCATGTGAACATCCTGTCTCCGCGAGACACCCATCCACCAAATCCTGAGACCAATCCCGGACTAGGGATCACCTAATTATTGGCACAGTGAAGCGTTTGTTACTCCGCGCCACGCCCCATGCAAATCTCTGTGAGACCAATCCCCTTCAATCCACATACCACCGGAGGTCGAAACGGCCGTTGACTTGGTCGGTCGGCCGTACCGGGACAGACCTTGAAGGATGTTCAATCCGAGACACATGCATGAGACTGCCATATATGCCTATGGTCCATGAGGTGGTGCAAGGGGGGTCAATGGGGTGGCATATGGGGTGGCATATGGCATACATCATTATGGAATGTCTGGAAATGTGGACGGACCCGGTGTTCCCTACGAGTTCTTCACCACCGGGGAGGGAAGGTCCGATTTGTCTCTAGAGTTCTCGGAAAGCCTCTTTTTGGGGGGAGCCATCTTATTATGAGTGCATGAGACATCTTTAGGAAACACCCACGTTGCATGTCAAGTCTGAGATCAAGAAGAATCGCTGCTCTGAAGGAAGATTGAAGAGCTTGGGTGACTTGGCTGAAGAATAACTGCCCCCCTTTCAACCAATCGGGGTCGATTTAGCACCATATAACATATATCAACAGTAACAGGGCCCTGGAGGGTTCTGAACATCTCCTTAGTCGGAAGCTTCTACCAGTTGTCTACCAGTCTACCCACCTCAAATCAATCATCTGGTCTTCTACCAGTTGTCTACTGGTCTTCTACCAGTCCAGCAGTCTTGTCATCAATCATCTCATCATCTGAATCCAACACCTCGACCCACATGGCTACCATACCCGCCGGAGCACCATCGGATCATCCTCCCTTGCCGCCCTGCTATGCCCATTGCTACGCGGTCCTGCTGCGCACCCGGCGCGCTGATGAAGCCATAGCCCCTGGTGTCGTTGAAGACCTTCACCTGGTGTCGTTGTGTGGATTCGATTTCCCAAAAAAGATATTATTGTTACTAGTAGTAAGGCACTTGTTTCTAATAGCTTTTTGTTACTACTAGTAAGGCACTTGTTACTACTAGCGTGGCACTTGTTACTAGTAGCTTCCCCGAAAGGGGAGTCACCGCAGAAGGGAACATTTAAAAACACCCAAAAGCCAAGCATAGAAGACTCAAGAGAGAAGAAACCAGGACAACCCGGATGATTGGACACTTCAGAACTCCCAAACCCTACAGCTTGGCCAGCTCTCATGGCTCTGGCTCTTAGCCAGCTCCTTGCTGCACGTCTTTATCACCTATGTTTCAGCTGTTTTCAGCTTGACCCCATGGACCTGCGTTGTTGGACACTGTTTTCTGTAGGGTCCAGTCCAGTAGACCTCTGAAGGTCTGTGGATCCCTAGGCGTTTGCAGTCGCTGCCGTCCACGCGTAGCGCGGCCGAAGACGTTCAGGACGGACGAAACGGACGAAATGAGTCTTTCTTTGGAGGCAGATCCCGCCTGACTTGGCAGTACTCACTTGGCGGGTATAGGGTCAATGGTTTTCTTGTGGTCATGCTTGAGGTATAAAGGCTCCTCTTTTGAGGCTGGAAGGGCTGCGACCTTAAGGCTAGCAGGCCACCAGAACTAGCGTCAAGATTCACATAGAACCTGAAAACCACGACGGGTTGTATCGGAAGTACGTCGTCCTCCAGTCTGGTCCAATCGTCTTCGCCCGGTTCCATGTGGGTCTCACACACACCGGGTGTATTTGCTGGTAAAGCAGAAAAGAAGTTGCACCAAAAGTTCGAGCTGAAGCTGAGTTCCTGATCCAACTCAGTCAAGAGACATCGCACATGGCCCTTAGATCCAGGGCTCCGTGCCACACCGGTGACTTGGCCGCCATCACACATGGCCCTTGGAGATGGATCTGCTTCGGAACGATGGGATGGCACAAGGGATGGGTTGGCATCCGCCCAGCTGAAATAAGGTGGAAGAAGGTGACATTGATGTTGTGCAGTGCTCAAGTCAAACATGTTGCTTTTAACAATAGCCTATTGACAAGCATGGTAAGCCCCTATAGGTATTGGGCTAGAACTCCTACCTGTTTGCAGCATCTTTACACCAAACTATGATTGTTGATGGTTACACGCACCCCCTGGCTACAACAGGAGGTAATTCTCCTGCACCAACAAGCCAATCCGAACAAAGGTTCGATGTTATCAGAACCAATCTACCTAGCACTTCCTGTCTGGGTGCCCTGTCTGGAGACCTATAGGTAGGGTAGACCGGGTAGGGTGGTCCATTGGCGACCCGGACTGGATGCACCTGGTAGTCAACTGCTAGGATTGATTCCAGCAATTCACCTTTCCTCCAAACTCAAACTCTCAAGACTTGGGGTCATCCTCGATGGAACATACACGAATCTGACATTCTTGAAATAAGGTAGGACATGCAGGCAGGAATCTGCAGATTTTGTGTATACCCCATAAACCCATCATTAATGTAACCATAACATAGAATAACCATATTACGAAGTACTACGATGTATAGACCGTATGGATTGACAACGTTGCAGGGGTGGGTTTCGCCCCCCCAACACCTGATATTGACCAGGGAAGGTGGTGTGACTGGTTGTGCCTCTTCTTTCAGCGGATTCCAAAAGCAGCGCTTCCCGTGCGGCAAGGTCCAACGCTCATCAACAAACCGGTCCGTGGGCACGAGTCCAGCGCTCTATCGTTAAGGTCCCTCTACATTCCCTCATCGTTCATCCTTCGTCTCGGCACCAAGAAGACTTGCGAGGGTGAACGGAAGAGCAACTTTACACAGAATCTGCCGAGGCGCATGGGTGGTTGGCCAAGTGCCACATCAATGCCCTGCCAGGGACCGTCACTGCTCACGCGAGGGTTTTTGGGGCGTTTAGGTGCCTGCAGGCGCCTGAGGCCTATGAGAAAATCTGAAAGATGATGGGGGATCTATAGAGATATGGTGGTTTTCAATAGGGAGACACCTAACCATTGGGTAGACTGGTCTATGTTCCTTCCTCCACGAAGTTGAACTGGGAGGCCTCCCTATTATGTACATGCCATCCACTTCCTTGATTGTTCCAGGGAGAGCACAAGGGGAATTTGGGAGAACAAATCTTGATTAGGTAAAATCCAACATACGTGATATATCATTATTTGGCTGTAGGTCAAAAGCCGGAGCCGTTTCACCCCTTGGTAGGTCGACCTCCCTAGTAGTCCGTTCTGTTCATGTTCGGTGGAAAAAAACAGGGTCCGCGGGCGCCATTAACCCACAGGATCTACATACCCTAGGGCTCCAGTCATACCTTCGAAACGAAGGGGTTTGAGGTGGGTGCCAAAACGTCGGGTCCAGTCATACCTTCTCCTGAGGAGGTCACCTCCTGGAGCGGATATGGATCTACCAAAACTACGATCCAAAACGTGCGAAAACCCCGACCACCGTCTCCCGAATCAGAAGATCCTTCACCCGCTCCACAGCCGGCCCAATCGCACCTGTGTACTGCCGTCCGGCAGCGTTTGCAGCACAAAGTTCACCTGGCACCGACACCGTTGGAACCGGTGTTCGTTGGACACCGGCGGTGGACATGGGGTCTGTCTGGCGGTGGATTCCGCTGGATTGACGGCTTTGCCTTGGTCGAAGTCATCAAGTCCGTCCTAGGTTCTTCGGGGACCTCGATTTTGTGTGGGAGATTATATCTAGACCTTGGATGTGCACATGCCCTAGACCTTGGCAGCATGTGCCAACATTTGCCGGACATGAATATGACATGAACGTTTGACCGCTCAGAGGTGATGCTACAGTTCAGAGGTTCGATGGCAGTGAAGCAAGTTGGTGGTTTGGTTCTGACCCCTGTATTCGAATGGGGACATCTTGGGGTGCCAGTGCCGAGACCACTGTATTCCAATGTGATGATGGGTTGAGGGATCAAAAGTCAGTCTCATGCTGCTGAACTCTCCAAATCGGCCGAAACAATCTATCCCAAACACGACCTATTTGGGACTGGCGACCTGTTTGGGACTGGCAAGTGAAACCTTACATTGACCCCTGAAATCAATCAACCACCCCTGGCCTGATCGGTATATCTGCCAGTCCTCCACAGCAATCCTTCATGGATCCTTCACCCCCACAAAGCATTAAGCAACTCTGGGATGCTTTTAGAGAGACTCCTCGTTCACCGTGCCATACCCATTCTTGAATTAGATGTTGTTTTTGTTCCCAATTCCAAACCTCACTCGGAACACCAAACCTCTCGGAACCTCTTGGTGACAAGTCGTGCCGTGGCCGAAGGAAGGACATATAGGCCATAGGCCATAGGTGTATATAGGTAGCTGAGAACATCGGATGGGACTGAACTACGGAACACCTGGAACTCCTCTCAGAGGTTGTTCCTGGATGGTTTAGTAGTACATCCCATATGAACCAAAGTGGTTTAAGTAGGGCCTAAGAACATTTATAGGCAAATACATCAAATACGAGTGTTTTCCCTTGGCCACCCACTCTCTCCGTAACCCTCCCTGCCCCCACTCTCTCCAGCTTCCCGCGCTCATAGTCCGTCGCGTGCGCTTACCGCGCTACGTTTGTTTCTTGCCTCGGTGCCAGGCAGAAGGTTCTGCCCAGTGCTCTCATGGAAGTGGACTTCACCCACCTCGGTTGCGTCGAGCGGTGCCGTCGCTCCGTCGCTCGCGCGCAACTCGACATCGCCGCTGCCGCTCGCATGCGCGGTGAGTTGTCGCAAGCAGTCGCCAACCGCGGTCGCGGTCGCGTGCACAGTACCTTCTTCGTACCTTTTGCTCGTACCTAGTAGTCGCAATCCTGCGCATGTATTTCGGGGTGGTGCTTCGGCAGAACCGTTTTTTTTAGAGGATCAACGAGGTGTGCCTGCCAGAGCTGCAGCCCCAACTGCAACCGTACGTTTTGCCTTTTCATGTTCTTTTCTGTTTGTGTGTTTTCCCTAATTTGTGTACACCTCTCACCAAAAAGTATCCAAAACATATTGCAGGAGCACCTTACAAATCCAAGGCAGCAGCAATATGACGCGCCACAAAGTGTTAGAGAGCCATGAATTGAAAAAACTGCATGTGGCGTGCAGGCAGGCTATGTGTCCACATCAATTCTCGTACCACTTTTCTGTTGGAAAGGAATTCTTATACTACAGTAGCTTGACAAAAGCATTGTTGTGTGTTTTTGTGTTTGTCTAAAGCGATCTTTGAGGCATGCAAGCTTGGCTGCGCATGTACAAATCTTAGCTTGGCACTCTGCAGGCAAGTTCAACAATAGATCCCATCCCCTACTACGGGCAGTTAGCCATGAGTCCATGAGTATCGACCATGGTACTGCTACATGTAATCAAGTGGAAATACAACAACAAAAACACACAGAAAACACATGTGCCTCGATTCGTAGTCATGATAGCGGCCTGCTACTTTGCATTAGCATGTTCAACAGGCTTAGGTTGAGGTTGACAGGTGGTCACAACCCGGAAAATAAAGATCAAATAATCCTTTTTGTGTTATCATACCGCGCCTGTGAACATGTTTCTGCGGATAATTCATGATAATGTCAACGGGGAATTATATATAGAAGGTTTTGGCGCAGGCAAGGGTGCAAGCAAGCAAGCAAGCAAGCAAGCAAGCAAGCAGGCAGGCAGGCAGGCACGCAGGCACGCAGGCACGCAGGCACGCAGGCACGCAGGCAGGCAAGCAGGCAAGCAGGCAAGCAGGTAAGCAGGAGGCAAGCAAGCAGGCACAAGCAGGCACAAGAAGGCACAAGCAGGCACAAGCAGGCACAAGCAAGCAAAAGCAAGCAAATTGCTGGGGCCTATCCCAATTTCAAGAATCCAGCAACATGCTCCCTGTTTTGTGGTCAGGTATTGCTGATGCAACATGTATCAAGCTTTCCCCACTGGATATACCTCAAACTAGGGGGTCTGGATTTTATGTTTAAAAGAACAAAAAAATACACCTGACAACACCTGCCAATGCCAACATGGAAAGTTTGACCATGAGCCTTTTCATGGTCGAAAAACATCCCAGTATTTAAGTATGATTCGCATATCCCATTGGATGGAGACATGCTTCAAAGGAACATGTTTGGCCATGCATTTCAATTTTTGTCATGAACTTGACCAGCGTCGTCTTCATCCTGCAATATCCGGTCTAGTGGGGTGTCTGCAATGTCCCCAACTCCCAAAAATGTCGTTCCTTTCCAGAGGATCCACTGACAGGGTAAGGATCCACTGACTTGGTGGGTCCTGCTAGGTCACCGCCTCTCCTTCCGTCACCAACTTCGGCTCACCCTGCAGGCCCCCGCACCCCTGGCGCTTGGATCACACCCACCCCTGGCGCCAGGAGAACGGCGCGGCGCGGCGGAACCGCGCTGCGCTGGGGCGGTGTCCAGGTGGAACGAGTCGCCCGAGCTGGGAGGAAACACCGCGAAACGTCGGCTGTCTCACCCTCTCTGTGGCTGATCGGCCGTCCCAAACATATCCAAACACTCCACGTGTGGAATACGAATGGAATATCTATGAACATCGAAGATAATCGATATGCCATATGAAATGCAATATGCCATATACATCCATATACAGTATACATTATACAATGGAATAATTAAATATGCCATGAGATGCCTCATCATGTGGTACATTGACCCTCCAAAGCACACCAACACCGCCAAATCCGTCCCAACTCCGCGGAAGCTCCAGGCTCCCGGGCGAGTGTTAGCGTCGAAGCTGAAGACGCAGCCGCCGATGCGGTTGGACCTGTCCGGTCCGGTCCGTCGCGCTGGACCTCCACCCGAACTGCGTGGGCCGTTTTCCCAGGCGCAACTGATGGGACGAAGCAAGAATATATGGCTGACACGACTGGTGTCTTTGGTTGGTTTTCATGTGGGCCATCTTTGCACCGCCATCGGTCGTGTTTGGGATTTACTCTTGGACATTTCAGGGAAGTATAGGCCTTCACAGCAGCCATGGGCCAATGCAATGGGTTTCAACCCTTCGATGACAGCTCAAAAGCAGCTTGTTTCTCTCGAAAAATGTCAAACTCCCATGTGGTAGAAGAACCCCCTACTAGGGATCCACATGCCACCAAACCTCAGGGTTCGGTACGACTGGACCCGACCGAGGCGCCAAAGAGTCTCCAATCAGCTCTGGGGGCGACACCAAGTGGTGCCCGACCGTTCTCACTCACACGATATCATTCGGAAAAAAGAGCTGGTGAAGGTCCATACATGTCCATGCCCAGACCATCCATGCATGGAATGGCTAGGCCATACATTAGGGCCAGGGTCATACACATGGGGTTAATGTAATGTAACATTAAATATGTAACTATTCCATACATGATGATGGATGTTCTGGTGGTCTCTTCTCTGTGTCCCATCCAAGTCGAAGATGGATGTCACAAGTGCTTCTGAGGCGACCAAACCCGCATGCTCCTCCGCCCATAGATCCACCACAACCTCAGAGCACAGAGGTGGTTACCACGTCAATGAGTGATTGCTGATTGGATGTTTCATCGTCGGTAAATCAGTAGAGTTCCAATGTACTTGCGCTTTAAAACCTTTGACCAGGAAATCGATGTCTGCCTGGTTCTTCAACATGACCGTGTGATACCCTGCTTGCTCCGAGCCTCTTCAAAAGGTCACTATAGTTCAGCTTGGTGATTCCACAAATGATCACGAACGAAGGGTCAGCTGCTGAAAACGTGTCAAGCAACACACATATGGATCCAGCATGATCCACGGCCACCCTCTAACAAAATGATTGCTGATGATTGATGACACTCTCATGTAGGGCGCCAGTCCAGGACCATTAAATACGTAAGGCTTCGAGTGGGTGGGTCCCATCAACCGACCGATCCTGGCCTGTGGACGACGTGGACTAGACCCTACGTGACTATCATGGGCGAGGTTTCGATCCATCAAGACGAAAACATGACTAGCATGGGTCTTGCAGCCCGAAGTGGTAAATTGCTTGGTTGTTTGTTTGGAGATATTTCAGATCTGATGGAGATACCAACATGTTCAGCCCGAGAGTTGTTTTTGTTGGATATGTTCAGATCTGGTGGATCTGGTGCGAGAAAAACATGAAGTCTCATTCGTTGTGCCTCCAGCCTCCTTGAAAGCTGTAGAAATCCAAACAATCAATACATCCACAGTCTGTTTCCAACGTCCCCCTGGAACTGATTCATTCACAGGTGCCCTCCTTCATTGACTGTTCATCCACGCGTTCATTGCAGGTGTCGCTCTTGTATAAAGCAACAAACTCACTCCTCAAATCTCCTCACCAGTCACATTAGGCCATTTTGTTTAACACCTGGACATCCTGAAATACAGTGCATGATCATATCCTCTCATAAACCCATGCTGCCCATGCTGCAAGAGACCGTGGCGAAAGACTAGTACTTGGCGCCCTACTTGGCGGCAAAAACATCTCTCAGCCAGACAAGGGACCAAACCATCCATGGGTGGTCCGACCATCCTTTGCTTCGCGCAGGGTGGGAGTCCCATTGGCCAAAACGTTGTTGACCAAGCAACAGCCACCGCAGCCAGAGCAGCAGGCGCCTGGCAAATCAGTGTTTTTGCTGCAGTACATCTACTGATTCGGATGCCTGATGGATTGGGATGAGTGATGATGCTCGAAACAAAAAGCAATAAGGGAGACAACGGAGTAAGATCGTGCCAACCGATGTTCTCATGTGTCATGTGACTATACAGTCACTGGGTATTGCAGCCATGCGCAATATCTCTGCTAGCTGCCATCCAAAGTCCAGTTTCTTGAAGAAAGAAGACGCATGCCAAATGGTACATGATGTAAAAAGGTGTATATACTAAATAGAACTATATATATATATGCATGTTTTCTTTTCAGGCCCTTGAGTGTGGTGCTGGGATGTTTGCATGATTCACATCCCACCAATGCGTCTCCGCCTGCCTTGTTGGAACCCAGGCTGACAACCGCAACCGCAGCATCCGCCGCAACATCCACCGCAGCATTGGCCGCCGCAGCATTGGCCGCCGCAGCACTGGCCGCAGCATCCGCCACAGCCGCACCCGCCGCAGCCTGGCCGGTCAGGCCGGACGTGCGGCCAGGCCGTCGGCCGACCATTCACAACAGTGAAAGAACATGCCACAATAAACAAAAGGCATGAAACCATCATGTATGCTTCAATGTAATACATGAAAGGGGTCGACTGACGGACCGAGAGTATCAGTAGCACCTTTCTTTTTGGGATCTTGCCCACCTCATGTCAATGTTTAAGACCAAGTTTGTAGACCCCGTCAAAGCAAGAAACCCTGCACCAGCCTCTGCCTATAATGGAGACTCTGGATGACTCTTGATTGTATTGTAAAACCTCCTCATAAGGAGAGCTTTATGAATCAAAAGTCTACAAAATATCTTGGTTTGATCCTATTTTGTTCTTCTCTGTTTAGTGTCTGGTATTCTTTGGAATTCCAGTGGAACATCGTGGAAACAGTAATTACCGCGATAATACCGGTAGCTTTTGGTTGGAGGGTGGAGGTTTTTCGTCCGTGCTGCTTCCTCATGTTCGTCCGCGAGTATACCAATTCTGACTCCCTCAGTCTCCCGGAAAGTAAAGGTGTTTCCTTTTCTACCATTAATTATTGGATATATGAGTGGGGATGTCCACCCCCCCAACAAAATGCATTTTCAGGTGATGCCCTGACTAGCCAAAAACGCCGGCCGGCCGGTTCCTCTCTCCCCGTCCCGTCCTCCTTTCAGGGCCAAATGGGTGGCCTCCACGCCGGCACGGCGACGAAACGGTGCAACAAAATTATTGTCTAATTCCATGTATGGATAGGTGTTTGATCTTCCTTGTTATAACTGCATACATTACAAGACCAACTTATGCATACTACCCCCATTTAGGGGTGTCCAAAAATAGCTCCGAAAAGAGGTGATTCGGGGGTGTCCATTCACCACCCCAAACCAGGGGGCCCTGGCTTATGCATACAGCACAGCGACTGGGTGCGAGGTCTGACCTCGAGGCGAAGCGGATTTTGCCGAAAGAAAACCATATTTTTTCACCTATCCCAGAACGTGACCATGATGGGACTATAAGTGTAATATGGCCGATGGATTCACCAGCTAAAATACCACCAGATACCACCAGTCTTGATTGTTATTGTATGTTATTGTGGTTTTTAAAATTCTAAATATGTGCAGTCCCATGGAGCGTCTGGGTAATATGTCATGCTGTTTCAAATCGACCTTCAAGAACGAGAATGTGTTCCAAAGATGAAACCAAAGTCCATCAGGAAGAAGCGTTTTCACCCACCGGAAGCGTTTATGTTCATCAACCTTATAGAGAGATATAGAGAGCTGATCACCAGCTGACAAGGTCGAGATCATCTCGTCTCTTCCCATCAGAGCTGATCGCCTTGAGCTTCCCATCCGGCAACACGTGCACCTGCACTACGTTTCGCACGCTGCACGAAACTCGCTGCACACTGAAGCACTGTATTGATGGGAAGAAAGGCAATGTTTTACTTCTATTATGTTGATGTTTTCCGTACCAACGGTCGCCCAGTGAAGCAAACATGACGCTCAGCTCTATCTCTCTCTATCTCTACAAATTGATTATATATTACGGTACCCTATGATACTATGGATCCACACACCCTCTGAAAAGAGACTCTTTTACATTTTTTATGTCGGTGCCTGGGTCGGGTCCAGTCGTATCTTCTGAGAAGCTGGCAGTGGATCGCAAGCAGCTCTTGACTGTGAAGAAAATCAAGTCACATCAAGTCACGTCTCACATACCCAGACGCTAGGGTGGGCCAGGGGGGTGCATACTGAGCAGCATACCGCTCATAGTCCCCATGGAGGGTATGGGATAAAAGTTGTTTTCCGAAGTGTTCCTTTATTTTCTATAGAAGGCCATCGGTCTGGCCTGGGCGCGGCAGGATAGACACATGAACTCACATGAACCTCTACTGTCGTTGCGTTTTCTCTGCCGAACCTGGGGTCTTTGCTAAGCATGGAGCTTGGCCGGCTTCGCCCTTAGTTGAGTTCCAAAGGGAACTGTTCCACACACGCTCCGGCCCTCCACCGGCCGTGCCTGGCACACCACATGGCGCCCCACGAGTCCCACGCCCACCGCCTGAACATGGTCGAACGACGTGGCGGTGCGGGGTGGGTGAACGACGTGGCGTGGCTGGGGTCGGTACAAGCAAGTATCCCATGCACCTCCAGTCATACCTCCCTCAGAAGGTATTTGGACCCTCCAAACCCACGCCAAACACCTTCTCAGAAGGCCATACACCTCCAGTCGTACCTCCTCAGGTTCGGCATGACTGGACCCGACAATGGCACCCACGCCAGTTCCACCTTCGAAACGAAGGCAGGACTGGAGGCCAAACGGGTATGGAAATGATCGGCATAAGGGTTTTGCTGGTCATGACGGACCAAATACTGTTTTCGAGACGATGCCCAATGCCCTGGTCATCGTAGGGCCCTTGATGACTCAACCCCTCCCATTGTACGGTCGGAAAAGCACCTCCAGGCCTGGGAGGGGTTCAAATACAAGCAGCTGTCAACATGACAAACTATGGAGCTATTGACTGAGTTAAAACTAGTTGATCCACGTAGATCCCTCGACCTTCTCCCCTTCTTTTTGATAGCACACCCTGGTCATCTTCCGTCAACTCCACATGAACTCCACACGCCTCCGTCCTCGCCTCCGTCTCGGTCCCGGGGGTCAGCCGTCCAGTCCGTCCGGTCGCCTGCAGATCCATGGTCAACTCTTGAGTCTTGAACTGCGCGTCACGCGAGGTCAAGGCCGGCGAGCTAATGAACCTGGAGCGGAGCGCGCGTGGAGCACGGGAGCGTGGGTGAACGAAGAATCGTGACTGCAAGGTGGTGGAGGAAGGGCAACTTGGTGGTGATGTGGTGGTGGAAGGAAATCCCCTTGCCATAAATCACAATCAATCGTATGGGGAAGGTGACCCCCGGCTGTTTGGGAGATTTGAAGGTATCAAAAGGTTCTTAGTGATGTTGAACGGTCGTATGTGCATGTATGTGCCACTTACGACCTTGAGGATGCTTGTTGGCAGGGCCCTGGGCTTGGATGTCCAAGAATTGATGGTCGGTCAGTTCACAGCTGGCTCACCCCCTCCATTAGCTATCAAGGATATACGACCCGGTGCATGGCACCTGGGCATGCAGGGCCAGACCCGTGATGGGATGAACAAACCCCTTTGATGTCAACCTTCCAATGCTTGGTGAGAGCTTTTGACTCACAGCCATATCTGAAAACTACAGCTAGATGGAACGTGTCAAACAACCCCAAGTCCCAGGAATTTTTGCTAGCTGCTACAGCTTCACCCAAGTGGCTTTCCAACGCACAGACAACACCTCGAAAGCCTGGTTCCATCACCCAACACCTCCCCTGATCTCCACTCCTGCGCCACTCACCAAGGCACCCATAGCCATGTTGATCGTTATAGGACTTGACGGTCCCCTCGATCAACGTGCCCTGCGCGCGCAGGAGGCAAGAAGTCTGGCACCGGCCGGCTGCACCAGGCTTCCGCTATTCACGGACCAAGAAGAAACAACAAAAACACTCATCCAATACAGTGCATTATTGGGTACAGTAACTCAGTAATTCATGTAATTCATATATTAATTATATCGTTCATCTCTATACCAGGAGCCCCGGTTTGGGGTGATTGCAATAATAGCTCCTTAGAGGTTAATGGGCCAATGGGTGTCTATTAACCACCCCTTTTGGGGTCCTGGTCTGCATCTCGTCTATGTTCTGTTTCCCCTTTAAGAGTCTTGCTAGCTCATCGATCCACCGATGCGTCATGCACGTGTGACGTGTGACGGTCCACGTGACGTGACGGTCCGCGGCGTCGGCTTCGGCGCCTGGGCCTTGGGAGCAGTCTGCATGGCTTGGTGCACCATCTGCAGGTTTCAGGGCGGAGAGGGAGAGGGTCGGAGAGGGGGTGCCACGCAGCGAGGCGCGCGGGGGGGGGGTGAACCACACCGCGGTGAAAGCAGGTGGATTCGGTTTTGGAGCTCTGGAGCTGTGCCCGCTACAACCCCGGTCCACAGTGACACCCAGCGGGGTCCACAGTGACACCCAGCGGTGGGTGGGAGATGGTGGGTCGATGGCATGCTGGTGGGTCCTAGACCGGTTTTGAAGAGACCTCGGAGGTCACAACTACCCTGAAAGACTCAGTGTACAGTAGGAAGACCTCGAAATCACCACTTGGGAGGGCTTAGCAGCTTGTCGCTCGGGGTCGACTTAGAGTGAGTGCGCAGAAGGCTGAGAGTGAGTGCACATGGGAGGACAATATCTTGCTTGGACACGGTTTGCAACAATCTGCTCTCAGCCTTGTGGTGAGCTCATTTTGCTGGAGTTGGTCATACAAGCGAGGCAAAAGACCAGGTTTTACTGGGTCTTTGGACTTGTATAGGGAGTAGAGACTCAAAGTTCTGGTACATTCTGGGTTTTCCTGTCCTACTCTCGACGGTCGGTGTTTTCTTCAACCACCTGCACTCAACCATCACCTGATCCACCAGAATCGTCTGAACTTGCCAGCTCGTTGTAGCGTCGTACCTCCATCGTGCAGCTCTGGACGTTGTTCGCCTCAGAGATCTGACCCTCCCTCCTAATCATGGAACTGTTACAGGTCAGGACCTCACTACTTTGTCCAGTTGATGTACACACTCCACTACTTCACTGCTTCACTAATTACTCAACTTCTTTTTTTGGGACCAGCATTTTAGGACCTGCGTCAGACTGGAGCTGGGGGAAGTGGATGAGGACAAGTCTGGCCGTGCCATGCCGAATTTCATTGGATCCCATGCGAGATGTGCGACCGCGAGACCTGCGAGACACTCCATCCACGTAATAATTCCGTGAGCATGTGGACAAAAAGAAAAACAACAACTTGCCCTCATCCTCTACCGCCTCTACCCCAAAAATGCCCCCTTATGAACTTCAAGCTGATCCTACACAGCGCCATCTCCCCACCATCTCCCCACCATCTCCACACCTACAAAGTAGGCACGTCCCTGGTCGGTCCCTGGTCGCTTCCCGTCCCTCCCCTGTGGATCCTCACCCGATGCCGACCGTCTTTACCTTGAACACCGGGAGCGAACGGGAGCGGGTCCGGACGCGCGGGTCCGTACGAGAGACCGAGGGAAGACGCGACGCGTCGGGCTTGTGGAGCCCCACCCCCAGAGCAGCCAGATCTGGAAGATGATGCGGAAGATATGTCCTCTTTGCATGGTATCATGGTGAATTATGGTTATCTAACCATAACATGGTTATACCCTCTAATATATACCATAACATGGTTATTACATAAGATGATGGTTAATCATGGTTATCTAATGTTATGTAATGTGGATGGAACATGGTGTAGTGGAAAGACACAGTTTCCGAAGACCAACACGGGGGGTTGTCCGCTTCCATGAGAACGTAGCAGGGAGCGTATATGCCTACATTGACCCCCTTTCAATTAACCACCTTAGTATATAAATGGATGGTCATGGGTCGTGTAGAAATGATCAATCAAACCCACCGTGTGAAGAGCCATGACCTGGGAATGCGCTCACACCCATGGGGACCCTTGTCTGGTTGGTGGCGTGAACTCACTTGAAAAAATCACTAAGTCAGTAGGATCAATGATCTCAATTGGCAAGGTTGAACATAACAAGATCTGAAACCACCACCCATGGAGTCCTCTCTAATTCACGGTTCGGAGCTTAGGGAAGCTGCGTTTCTCGAGGGGCATTGTTTTTGCAATGAGTCCTTGCGTCCAACAGCTCCTGTCTTCTCCACCTTCGTGAAACGGTCTTCAACGCATGGACCGCAGGTGCTCACGGGGCCCAGAGTAGAAGGAGCCCAGAAGGAAGTCCAGAGTCGAGGAGTTCTCAGCTCTAGCTCCAGCTTCTGTCAATTGCACAACGTCCAAGTGGCCATTCTCGGCGACTTCCGGGGGGTAGCGCTGCGAGTGTCCCAACCTGTCGCGGGTTAAGGACACGCAAAGCCACTGACGCAATCGCACAACTTCCTCACGCAGCAGTCGCTCGACTGCCAAGTGGCCCCAAGCCGCTGCAATCATCAAAGCCGTGGCCCCATTTCTGTTTGCTGCATCTTTGTCTGCTCCAGCCTTGAGCAACAATCACACAACTTCCAAGTGGCCCCTCTCAGCTGCAATCATCAAGGCCGTTGCCCCATTTCTGTTTGCTGCGCCTTTGTCCCTCGAACAACAAACGCACAACTTCCAAGTGGCCCCTCTCAGCTGCAATCATCAACGCAGTTGCTACATTAGTTGTGTTTGCTACATCTTTGTCAGCTCCAGCCTCGAGCAACAGCCGCACCACTTCCAAGTGGCCCCTCTCAGCTGCAACCATCAAAGCCGTAGCCCCATTTCTGTTTGCTGCGTCTTTGTCTGCTCCAGCCTGGAGCAACAATCGCACAACTTCCAAGTGGCCACTCTCAGCTGCAATTATCAACGCTGTTGCCACATTTTTTGTGTTTGCTGCATCTTTGTCAGCTCCAGCATCAAGCAACAACCGCACAACTTCCAAGTGGCTTTTCTCGGCTGTGAGCAACAAAGCAGTTGCACCATTTTTGTTTGCTGCATCTTTGTCGGCTCCAGCATCGAGCAACAACCGCACAACTTCCAAGTGGCCCCTCTTAGCTGCAATCATCAAAGCCGTTGCCCGACTTCTTTGGCTGCTTGCTGCGTCTGTGTCAGCTCCAGCATCGAGCAACAACCGCACAACTTCCAAGTGGCCCCTCTCAACTGCAATCATCAAAGCCGTTGCCCCAAAGATGTTTGCCGCATCTTTGTTGGCTCCAGCATCGAGCAACAATCGCACAACTTCCAAGTGGCTGTGCTTGGCTGCCATCATCAAAGCCGTTGCCCCATGTCTGCCTGCTGCCCCATTTGGGTCCAGCGGCCTTTGAAGCAGCCTTTCAACATCAATGACATTGTTTTCTCGGCAACTAAGAAGCAGTTCATTGTTCGACATCCTATCAGAAGCACAAAAGGGCAGGATTACCAACCGTACACTCGGTAGTAGTTTTAAAGGCATGTCATCCTGCAGTTCGCCAAATTCGTCACTCAAGAGTCTTTGCTGAAACCTCGAGCACTCAACCTGGGCTGAGAGGACTTGCTTTAGATCACGAATGGATTTCCCACTTTCCACCATGTGAAGGAACTCATTCTCATCAAGCTCGGCAACTGTTGTCCCGGATAAAGCCGTGACCTGCATCATTATATCATTGAGATTCAGAAGCAAGAGGTGCAGGCTTGAGCCATGGTCTGAATCAAGGCTGCCAAAACTGTGTTGGAGGCTCCAGGTATGTTCCACAAAGTGTCCCACAAAATCCAACCTGAATTTTAGGGGGGATCTCCTTAAAAGGATGATCTATGATGATCTATGCCTCTCCACTAAAAGGAACATATACACACCCAGCACAGCAAGGGTGCTGATTGGGTGGGCCTCATCGAGCTCCGTCTCTACCCACCCGGGCGCAGCTCTGTCGCTTCTGCCAGGTCCGCACTGTTGCTGCCATGATTGGAAATAATTGACCTATCATAAGATGAGGTTGTGGTGTTCCAAGCTCAGGAGACTTGACCACCCATCCCAAACACCTTGGGAATTTGAAGGATATTTGAATCATATTGGATCCATGACTGGTCATCAAATGTCAGTGTCGCTTTCACCTGTTGGAACAAGAAATCCCCTCAAAGTCCCAGTCCGCACTGTGGAGAATTGTGGTTCCAACGTGGAGAAATGGGATACTGTTTGGGCAATTCTCCCATTTCCTGGGCCCCCCATTTCCTAGTGGTGGGCCGGAAGTTGCAGGCCTTTCGATCTCATAGTGATCATATCGACTCGGTCATGGGATATACCGAAGTACGGTGTTTCACCTGTGTTTCACCTGTTCCGAGCAGGTCGAGTCCATCACCCAGATTTCATCCCTCTCTACTTCCTCTGGGGACGGTGAGAGGGACCTCTGAAGCGAGACCTCCGCGGCTCAAACCACCCGATTCCGGCGAAGAGTCGGACTCTTCGGCCGGTCCGTCCTCATGCGGTTCGGCGTTCGATGTTTTGGGGTTCCAAATGGGTGCCAATGAACCAGACTGCTGGTGAAGTCAGATGTTGACAGGCTGAAGTCTTCCAACAACAAGGAGGATACTTTCCAAGAGTCCTGGTTGCGGACCCCAATTCTTCGGCCATTGCGGTCAGGCTATCCTCATTTCTCCGGCGAATCAGTACGAATCAGTACGAAGCATTGTGGACACATGGGCTTCTCAGAAACGACAATTGCGATGTCTCTTCTTTGAAAAAAAAGATATCGGAAGCACTTCCTGCTGCGCAAACTACCGGCTGAGTCCAACTATCCACCCTCTACACCCCTGGGCCTGACCCAAAGTGGCCTACCCATAGGGCATCCCTCAGCTGTGGCCTATATCAACAGGTCGCAGGGCAACAAAAACACGTTGTAATGGCGTGTATAGTATGTAATCACGTTGTACTGACCGAATCAACCCAATCACAAAAAACATTAGGACTTTAAGCAAACACCTAGTCCTCCAAACTCAACCCATCTCAATCCAATCACAATGACACCCTCGCCAATCTGGGGGAATTCCAGGGACACCTCACACAACCCGCACATCTTCTTGCCGATCTTAGGTGCCGATGGTCATTTCGAAGACCACAGGTTTCCCCACAAAATTCTTCTCCTTGCAGGTAACGAGGAAAAAGGAGTATCCAGGCTCTCTCGGGAGGAACAGAGCAAGAACAAGAACGATGGGTGACTGGAAACATTGATCCCAACTACTCAAACCTTTTTTTCTCAAACAAACGAATGTAGACTCTCGATCACGAGTGCATCTTTCCAGGGATGACTTGAGAGCCAACTTATGCTCTGGGAATTTTCGGACCCTGCCCTCTGAGTCTGAACATGGGGGAAACATCGACAGGTCTCCAATCCTAGGGTTGAGGGATAGGCTTTGGAGAGTCTCCAATCCTAGGTGCCTCTTGGCAAAACAGGCAAACCCTCCCTTTCTCGCCCCTTCCAGGGGTAGACTGGGTCTATCTTCTGAACCGTCCGGGCGGGTCGGAGCCTGCGCCGAGTCAGGAGGTCGACACCTATGACACCCCCCATGCTGATTTAGCCGCCCTGCAAGGGTGGTCTCTTCGCGTTGGAAGTGGCATTGAACAAACAGCTTAAGGAAGCTTGAAACAAGGAGTGAACCAGCCATAAACATGCCATAACCATCATTGTGTTCTTCATTTGGGGCACCACTTCTGACGCTTCTGAACAACCGTCACGGACTTCCCCCATCCACATCTCCATACTCCACCCTGACATGAATCGAAATGACCCCCCTCATGTTGCTTCACTCAACCTGGCCAGGTTCTTCTTTAGGCGAACCGAGTTTCAGTCACAAAACGTCAGAGTTTCACCAAAGGCATGTCGACACGACGTCTGCCAGGCGGTTTGAACAAATCTGTGAACATAGTGTGGATATCATGCACAGTTCTATATCAAAAACGGACGGCAAAATACGGTGAAATGGTGTGAAATGCTTAGTGTGCAAATGCATCAAATATCACTATGACGGTATGAGAATATCAGATCGCTGACCATATCACAGATTTTAGACGTCCCCCATCCTCTCATCCAATCCCAAGTCGGTCACCAATCAGTCGGTCACCAATCAGTAGTTACGCTTCTCTTGGAGTCATTTGAGATCATTTCCCCAACATAAAACATACTTTGGAATTCACAGCTCGCTTCATCTCTAACGATCTACCTCTCCCAGGAACCAAAAATCATCTGTTTTGCTCCGGTTTTCTTCCCACGCCGCGCGGCGAGCGTCGCCGCGCCACCGGCGCCGCGCGTCTCCGCCGCTTCGACCGGGGCCGCCTCGGCCTGGAGGTCCGGCGGCAGCTCGGAGCGGAGGAAGAAGACGTCGCCCGCGCCGTTCTGGCGGCGCCGCGGCGGGGCCGGCAGGGCCGGCGGTAGGGTGGACGGTTCCATCTTGGGGAAATGGTTTGTTTCGGGAAACACGTGGGTGAGCAGCTTCTGGAACAAGGTGGTGAAGCAGAAACCATCAAATGAATCAAATGTATTCAAATGTTTGAACCATTATGCTGTCAAAAAGATTTTATAGATGGAACGTCAAGTTCGTTGAACACCACTTCATGTTTGATGTTTTTCACATGTGTGTCCATCTGTTTGGACTTTCTTGCCTTTCTTGCCTTCTTCGCCTTCCTGTCATTTACATAGCTTAGCTTAGGAACTCCACACGCGACCCGGTCTTGAAAACCTCGGGTCACCTTAGTTCTTGCAAATCCAACCTTCTATCACCTCAGGTCACTCACCTCATCAGGTCACGGAGCACTGCCAGGGTCACCTGATCCTTTCGTCCACACCCTTCCAGGTCGACCGGTCACCCCATCGCTCGCACTGCGTCGGTCCGCGGACCCTCATCGCTCGCCTGGACCGTGGAGCAGTTGATGAAGCCAAAGCCTGGTGCCGCGCACGTCGGGGCGTGGCCTCCGGTGGGTGACGTTCTCCAATCTGCCCCCCCCCAAAAGGCCGGAAAAGTCTGGAGAATACCAGGGTCATCCTGGACTGTCTGTGTGTCCGTCCTGATAGCGTTCGACTACCCGAAACCCTACGTCTACACAGGTCTTCTACTCCAGCTGGGCACCCAGACAGGAAGTGCTAGGTAGAAGTTAAACATTGGTTAAACTTGTTGCTTCACCGCTCTTTGAGTCCGGAAACCAACTCCCCCCCAAAAAAGGTTATAGATAATCCACCTTTCCTGGGTAGGTACACCAACAGCAACAGTCAGTCACAAACTCTGGCCCGAACCACACATCTTCAACTAGTGACAAAGAGATTTGAATACTGAAGTCTTCAAAAGTCTTCAAATGCAGCAGGAACTGACCGTGGAACACCACAAACTCAGCAAATCCAGTTACCAAACAACAAGTCCAAGTTGTGCCACTTGAGAGAGGCCCGGTCAACCGGTCAATCCCATGTGTTCACAAATCAATTATATATGTACTCCCAGCTTAGTATCGCTGAGTGGATCTTAGTGCCATTGAGTCTTGACATGTGTTGACCCCAGGCATCCCAATACGATGTTCTTCTGCTGTGCTTCAGGTTTATATAAGAGGGCCAGCACAAGTTCATCAACCTGAAGACCAGCCCATGCAACCTGACAGGAGGCTTTCCATCGACCAGTGCTCGAACATCCGCTCCCGGAAGAGGTCACGCGGACGGCTGATAGGTCGCTCGCCGCGCTCGGCTGAATTCGAAGGATCAATGAGCAAAAAGGGGAGTGGCTCCTTTCTTGGCTCCTCTTGGGTCATGCTTTCATGCGTTCAACTTTGGGTATATCCCATGACCAGGGCCCAGTGGATGATGTTGATGAGTAAAGGCCTTTCTCACATAGCGATTGGTTGAACGGACGGTTATTACTGGTCATGGGACATACCCAGACGCAAGACTTGCGCCCCTGTGGTCGGGTCAAACAAGTCCCTCACACACACAGTCACACAGCTGGCCCGGGCCCAGCCTTTCTCTTGGTTGAAGACTTTCACTGTGCCATAGTGCTTGAGCTGAGCAGGTTCCTTAGAGGCCAGTATCTATTTGGCCTTCACAACCCTGGAAGTTGGCAGGTGAAAGGAACAATTAAACAAGCAACATTATGTAAAGACCTTTGAGGCCCACACAAACCACAACTGGCAAGCAACTTGCGAACCAGGAAGTCTGTGGGCTGACATCTTGAGTAACTGACAGTGGAATTGGCAAAGGTGAGTCACAGGGGCCTGATTAGACTGGCCCGAATCCTCCCGTTAGAAACCATTCATTTTCTGCATAACTCGGATGTGCGCAAGTAATTGGGAAACTATAAAAATATATAATATATATCTTCCCTAAAGGGGATTCACCGACAGGAAAGCCAAAAAAGATACAGTAAAAACATACGAAAAATAACCCAAAGCAAAACCATGATAACATCCCACCTCTGAACCATGATTCACCCCTCCTGCTCGCTTGGGAAAAGTGCCTCATCCGTGGATAGGGTCTTCCCCGGCAAGCCCTTGCCACGAACTGCAAAACATGAAGAAACACATGGAAACTACCTGGGACATTATACGGATATCTGGATTCTCGAAGCCCACCAGGTAATTCTGCCACACAGCCTGTGTTCCAAACCCCAAGGGCTTTCGCACTACACACGATAGTTTTCGATGTGTCTCGATGTTTCAAGCTGAGCACCCCAGCTTGCACGTACATCCCCTGACGAAACAAAAGCGGCAAAGTGACACGTTGCGACTGCACTGACTAGACGATAGCAACATGTATAAATCCACCAAGTCGTCCAGTTTTGATGGAGGGCATCTATCGATGGTAGTGTGTAATCATGTATCAAAAACAGTGCCACTATCTATTTGGGGACCACCATTTTCCCCATACGTGAAGTCCATCTACTCCATCCAAGCGCTTTCGCCACTTCTTCCCGATCCACTTCTGCGCTCCCAGCCTGCATCCCGCAGCTGGGTTGCGCGACCTGGTGGACAAGGTGGGGTGAACTGGCACCACCGCATCTTCCCTAGGGGAAGATCGAACATGAATGTGAAGATTGTCTCCCTAGTGGTCTAGGGGTCCACATACCTTCTCGTACGACTGGGCTGTCCAAAGATAAACAGTCTCCAATCACCGCTTCTGACAAGGTACGACTGGATCCCTAGGGTTTGGCGGTGACCTCCCAGAACCACAGGTTTGCCGACTCCCTAGGGCTCCAAGTACCTTCTAAGAAGGTGTTTGAGGTGGGTTTGGAGGGTCCAAATGCCTTCTAGGGACTGTGAATCCTATCCGTTCTTCTTGGATGCCACGGGTTCGCCACGGGTTCCCTCCACGTGATGCCACGCCCGCCGTGGGAACACTGGGCCACCCTGACGCCAGCGGCCTGGGCAACTCGGTCGAGTCTGGCAGGTCCAAAAAGGTGTTGCGCTAAGTCGAGTCGAGGAAAATCCCACCCCCTTGGCCCTTGGCATGAATTTGATGTTGGAAGTAGAATCCAAGACTTGGCCCAAGGGTAGGCCATTTGTGGCTACTATTTGGAAGTTGGAAGTTGATGTTTGGAACCGACGTTCATGTTTGATCTGAACCCTTGGCAGGTGCAGGGTGCAGGGTGCACTTGTTTTTCACTCAGATGATTGGGAAGAGCCCCAAAGAGGATCCAAAATGGTTTAACAGATCCAGTGAGTTTCTTTATCAAACAATCAAACTAGATTAGATTGCGCAGGTGTTTTCGTGGATATATTTCTTGGAGCATCACGTCAGTCATCTCATCCAGTTCAGTCAACCAGTCAACTAGGCCCTCGGGCAAAGTAGGCCTGCATTGGATCCACGCCCATGCCTCTTCAGGCGATGGTACGCGAAAGCCCAGTGAAAGAGAAGAGTCAATATGTGCTCTCAACTGGAAGGTGGTAGTCATCAAGCTGAGTAAAGAAAACATGAGAGAAATTCAAATAAAACGCGCCATGTGTTCCATTTTTTGGCAAACCGATCTATTCTCGAACTGCTTTAGCTTGTAGCAAACTGACATGGGGTGGAAAACGGACTTAATGAGAAAAACTGATTGCTGCAAGATCACCTCTTCTGCGTGTCTTCATGTTTTGAAGATTTTTGATTTTTGTCTTTTCGTGCGCGACACACGCGAGAACAAACGGAGCTCTGCGCGGAGCTCCAAACGCCGTACGGAGGTGCCATGTGGCACGGTCGCGCTCGTCTTGGTCTCCGGACAACCTTGTTGCTGGACATAGTATTGCCTTGGAAGGAGTGAAACGGAGCGAAAGACGGTGGTTGGTGTAAAGGACGGTTTGGTTGGGTCGGTCTCATGTTTGTCCACGTGTGTGTTGACGTTTCAAGAACCTCATTACCATGGAAACCTGGCACAATCTCGCCATAGTTTTCTAGTATACATGTTTTGCCTGCATTACCTGCACCTCTCTGGTCACCGACATGTGTGGACTGGAAGGGAAGGCAGTACCGAAAGCCCCTGAGGTCTTCTTGAACAAACGCACAGAAAAACGGAAAACACATGCACATGGCAACTCTTCCAGTGCTTCGTTTCTATCCTCACCATTGGGCCAGTCAGTCGTGCAGTCCTCATGGCGTCCTCGGAATCTGAATCCGACTGCTATGGAAAAGGGGATCCGTTTCAGTCCCGACCCCCTGCGCGGTTTGCTGTCAGGTCCAAGTGCAAACCGCTGGCGTTTCGTTCCGTTTCGTTCGGGTCGGAACTCAGTGTCCGAGCTGTGGCATTTGGTTTTGCACCATTTGGCCCTGGATCATGTTTCCATAGGCCTTGGTCGACCAAGGGCTGCAGAGGTTCCAGCCGCATTCAACTTCTGGTCGCAACTATGCTCGAGCAGTTACACACAAACGCTTGTTCCAACGCTCGTTTTCAGAAGTTGTAGAGAACCAACCCCAACATCACACTTCCAATAGCAAATCATACCTAGTGGAGTGGATACTCATCACATGACAGTTGCATGTGCAATCCAGTACTGCGCAAAACAATGATGTTTTCAGGATTCTTGTTGAACCAAAATAACATCCATCATTCCCAACAATTTCACCTCCAATTCCAGAACAGCAGCCCCCCCGGAAAAGCTAGAGTACCCGTCCACTCACCATCCCAGAGTCGGAGAGCGACAAAGCCGACCAACAAAGAGATCTCGGGTTCCCGAACATCGTACTGCACAAACTGCCTCAGCTTCCGTTTGGAACGTGTTGCTTCGGCTTCTGGATGATCATGTAACGACGTTTTTGGATTGGTTTTCTTTCGGGTGCTCCGTCGGGGTGATGTGATGATAGTGTTTGAGGTGTTCTGGTGTTGCGGACCACGGAAGAACGTTCTATTGTGCTGTTCACTGGTACATGACCACTGGCCAAACAGTTGAACAAAGCTTCCCCAACAAAGCAGCTTGGACCATGCATAGATGTGTTTCTGAAATTCATGGACCAGCAACAAGGAACCTTCATCTGCAATCTTCATGAAGGAAAAACCGAACAAAACCCTTCAGACTTGGATTGCCAAACTGGTCAAAACGCTTTCAGCATCGGATGGCCGACCGTTCTGATACCTGCCATGGGGTGCTTTGGATGCGTGACCGACTCCGACTGACTGCTCGACCGAGGACACGTCGAACTCGACTCTAAGACCCCGTGCTGTGGCACCTGCGCGTGGCGCATGCGGACGCATGCGGGCGCGGGCGCGGGCGCTGCGGGGAAGGAGGGCGCATGCGGGGAGGAGCGAGTCGGTGTCCAAAGGACTTGGAGTAACTTGGAGTTGCTCAAAGAACCGGGAAATCTAGTAAAACATCTTCCCTTATGCAATATTCACTGGGAAGGGAAGATAAAAACACATCACCGGTATATGATGAAGATCAAATAAACCAAGGGATAGCCCAACGTAACACTGAAACAAAAAACAACATGCAGCTTGAGGTCACATCTTCCAGAACTGGTTCCAAAGCTGTCTGGGATGCTGTGGGGGTACCACATCCCAAGGGTATGTCCTTCTTTGAATATGACCCAATGGAGCTCCAGCGACGCCCAAAAACGCTCCAAGATGGTCCTACATGAAACTCACGCTGCCATAGGATGGCCATCCGATGGCCACTGTATCATCGGTCCGCGTCAAATGCAGTGTATCACCCGCAGAACCGTCGGCTTACCAAGCCCCGACACGAAAAAAAGTCACGCTCTTTCTGCCTTCGGAACGGTGGGGTCCCTTTCCCTCTTTAATGAGGGGCATCAGTGTGTGTGTGTGTTTCCTTCAGAACATGGACACCAATGGTGTTGGGTACCATCTTTTTCCAGGATCGCAAAAAAAGAACCTTTGGGGCCAACATCAAGATGCCCGTCCAATGATGTTAACATATACTATACAGTATATGTGAACACCAAGTTTACCTTCTTGCCGAGTGTTGGATCCTAACTTACTTAGCACTCTAGAGCGATGGCACCTCATGTTTCTTTGCTTGAAGACAAATAATCCCCAAGAAGTGGTATCACAGGACTCTGCCAGGGAATGTACGATGCATTGAGATGCAGGACTCCACAAAAACCATCGCCTGGCCCATCATCATTTGCTGCTGCTGAGCCTGGCATCAAACATACCCGAGCTGAAGACACAACCATTGGATAGTGAATTTTGGCTGAACTGCATGAAGAATGATACATACCTCTGACAACAACAACCCAGCTTTTCCAAGATTCGGCACAGCAGCAGGGTCTATACTATATGATAACGGGTGTGTGCTTCTACTGCGAAACAATTATTGGTTTGTTCCTTTTCTACACACCCATAATAATATCATTCTAAGACCACCAAATTGCCTGTGTGTGCCAAAAAATCTTGGTCGAAGCTCTGGATTTGGAAGCACTACCACACAATGAGCGATTCGCTCAGACCCTCATGTCAAACAATCTAAAATGACTCCTCCGCAAATAAGGTGCTTAGAAGGTGATAGTAAACCAGCTGACGGACTGGTAATAAACCCAACTAACCAATGCTGAGTGACATGAGTGGCAGCAGCGAAGTTGAGCGCTTGACAACCCTGAGTCACTATATATTCACAAAAACAACAACTGTTGGCACGTGGTTCAGGGGCCCATGTGCTGCAGCACCTGCATCTGCTGCTGTTGGAGCTGCTGCTGGTAGTCAAACTGCTGCCTTGGGGAGTCAGCAAACGGTTGGCATCACCGGAATTCTAAAGGGGTTGTAACAGGTAAACGTTGGGAATTCCTACAGGGAAGCTTCATGTCCAGTGCCTCTCCAAACATACGGACCCCGCTTAATGTTGGGGAAGCTCAAGACCATGGATCACAAAAGGGAGATGTGTTTGACGTAGCTAATCAATGCTATATGCTGCTATGGCTCAAGCAAGGGGAACCAGGAAAAAACACGAGGAAACACGTTTCCAACATGCATTCTCTTGGAGAAAAGAAACCTTCCGTGTCAGTCTTCGGCTGGCTTTCGAAAAAATAAGTTTAACAACTCACCTCTCAGTGGACCCAGTCCGTTTGTTTGATGGGCATGATGCTAGACTTTGAACCCACGACAGGATGAGGTGTTGTTCCTCATGGCTTGTCCCTCCTTTCCTTGAAGACATGTCGATTGATTTTTGCAAGAAGGCTGCCATTGATGCAGAACCGCAGGGTTCAAAGTTGAGAGCAGAGCATGCGTCGCGGGGCGAATTTGGCTCCACTGCGTGATTGGCACGCACAAACACCTTGAGACAGTTTGGACCATGGACCATGGACCTCCGGCATCTGTTGGACCATGGACCTCGGTGGGTGTACGCGCTGCTATGTCGTGTTTCGCAGCTGCCGCGACTTGGCTGCCGGTCGGAGATAAGACCTCTGGTCATTCTGGAAAAAATGCCTCTTTCAAAGGCCCGGCCCTTGTGAAGCACAGTAAGCACAGCTCTTCAGGTCTGATGGTGAGGGCAAAGGAGAACACCATGAACAAACACTGAAAAAAAGAAAACAAGCAAAACAAGAAGAACCAAACTCACAAAAAAAAAAAAACGAAGCAAAACCTTCCGGGTAAGTCAACCATGGCCAACTAGGGAGACTGTCCAGACCCGCTGAGAGGTACAGGACAACTATATAGCAACAAAACCTTAGCAACACATACCAGGACCCTCCAAGGGGTGTCCAATGGACTACCCCACACTACCTATAGGCTTCCATTGGGCACCCCTTAGAGGGTCCTGGTAGCAACAACATATATATCAAACCAGCTATACACCCAGACACACTCCATGGGACTGGAAATAGGACTGCCGCCAGAAAGACCCCTCTGGCACCACCCTTGGCCTGATCGGATTTCATATGTCAGTCCTAAACAGGTCTCGTCTGGGATAGCTATCTGATGGACTCCCCCTTGTTCGACACCTGCCAACGACCCGGCTTGCCCCTGGTTTTTCTCTGAGGTCCCCAGGCCCTTGACATCCCTTGGAACGGAGCAGACCGGTCTTGACGACCGGGTCGCACACACCGAGCCGAGCGATGGAGGCTTCCGCGAGCCGAGCAAAGGAGACAACGGGCTACACCGAGGGCTACAACAGAGTCATCGCCGTGAGAAAGGAAGAGTTGCACCTTGAGGTAAAAGAAGAAGTCTATGTTTGTTCACGGGAACATCTTTTTCAGGGCTAAGAACATACTAAGAACGCCAGCAGGGCCTCCTCCTAGCAATTAAAAAAATGTAATGTCTTTCCGCGTTGGCGCGAAAGGTGTTCCACCACGCCAATCGCTCATCCGAGATCTTTCAACTCTAGGACCTCCAACGACCAGATCCACTTCAACCCCAAATATGTGCGGGATCATGAATGTGTTTTTTCGCGCCAAAGCATGAGATCCTTCTACCGTGTAGAAGGAGAAATGGCCTTGTACCATGGTGGCTTCGGGGAAACCCATCAAGTCATGATACAACTCGTGGGGCCTTTCTAGTCATCTTGCCGTCAATCGTCGGTCGAGTCATGCATTTAAGGAGCCCATTGGGCGACGCTCATTGGGAGCATCCCTTGCGAGATGCTCATTCCGGTCCCACTCCATGGATCATTCCCAAGGACATACTTTCAACGTTTGATAGTACTCAAAGAACATTATGCTTAAGGGGAGAGCATTTTGTTCAATTAAGGGAAGAGCATGATGGTTAAGGGACACAAAAAAACAGCTCAATAATTGACATTAATTGACCAGCATCTTTACAGTTCAAGCCACTGGCCAATAGGTGTGACCTTCTGAAGATGCTGCTGCCATGGCAACTTAGACTACGGATGTTCATCTGAAAAAGGTGTTCAGGCTGAAGTCCTCAATGCAAACCGATTAATTGGACTAAACATGCAGAAAAAGGACCCTCCCAGTGACCTGTTCAATTGTTTGGTGAGCGAGCTTCCATGTAGAGCTAGGCAGAGGGTCCAAAAATATGTCCTAAGTACCCCGAATTTGAGCAATTCAACTTCAACCCTAATTTTAAGTGTTTGCTTACCCAAAAAGCCTCCACAATCGAAAATCCATAGAGGAACAAGCAGTTAAAAGATGTTAAACGCATTTTATTTTTCTTTCTGGAGGGTCTAAGGTAGACTGTACAAGCTTCAGCCGTACAGCAGGGCAGAACAACACTATTCTGGCCCTGCAAGGCTCAGCAACACGTCATATAACAAAGGAACTTAATGTAGACTCTTGATTAATACACCCCCCATATGAAGAGGATGTTCAATTCAAATGGGGGGACGTTATGGTCCTCAAGAGTCTACATTTCTTCCGGATTGCCCTGCAATGGCCCAAGCAACACATGTACAACATACACCTCCGCTGGGGTCACCGACATAGCAACCCTGCATGGGATCCATCATACCTCAGCTGAGAGCGACTGGGACCGTTCAGGACGAGTGGCAGGACGTGAGGAGCGGTGAACGGTCACCGTCTCGAGTGGAAGTCTGGCGACGAAGTCCATCCTTCTGGGCTGCGTAATGACAGAAACTATAGCATGACATGTAAGTGGTGACATGTAAGTTGACATGTCAGTGGTGTCTCCCCCATCTTGAAGATACATTGGCCGAAGGGCTTCAGATGTCTGTTCTTCCTGGTGCGGTCAGTCTTAGAGCTTTTAGTTCAACCCTGCCTTCAAACATGCGACAACGATGCGGTGATCCTGGGATCCTCGAAAAGACAGGTCTTGGTGGTTGAGCTAATACCAGCTGGACATTGGAATCACCATCTCTGCCCTGGGGAAGGGCAAAGAACCAAACTAGTTCATCCCCTCGCCATTCTTTAAGAGGAACATCTGACGTGGAGTCCAGCAACTCCCTTAACTATATGCTTGAACATAGAACAAACAAATGATTCAACACATCTTCGAGGCCAATCACTGGTCATGATATGTCATAATCCTTTTTTGCTGACGTGGGGGCCCGGCTGCCACTTCGATCATCTGGGTCAACCACTTCGCCGCAGCCGCTGACAAAACAGACCAGCAAGCTGCTGTGAAGACCAGACCACCTCTTAGGCTCCGACAACCCTGTTGGCAGCAGTACTGCCTGGAGCGCTCAATGAAAAACCGAAGCTGGGAACACACCAAAACACGGTGAAACGCCCCGGTGCTTTTCGGGGTTGAGGAAGCGAGTGCGGAACTCCGAGTGCAGTCCAGGACCAGTCCAGGGCCAGACCTGGCACTTTACAAATGGATTGTGGGTCGAATTTCTATGAATTTCGGTGGGGGCATCCATGTCATCCGAGAATGTCGGAAAAGGATACCCCAAACGTGACCTGTCTGGAATTGGCCTATTGACACGGCCAGGGCTGGTGGATTGATTGAAAAGGTGGCAATATCAGCATAATATTCCAGTCCCATGGATGGTCTGGGTACTGGGACCGAGAAACACGTTTAATACATGCAGCATTTTGTCACAGGAGGATCCGCAGGTAAAACCTTCTTGCATGAATACGTTTCCACTTCTACCACTTCTGTCTTTGCCTCGAAACCAGTCAGGCAACTTTTGAAGCAGGACCGGGACCTACCATTGATAGAACACTTTGCAATAATGTTGGAATGTTGGATAACCCTGGATATAAACCAATTCGAGAAACACCCAATCCCTGCGGCCGCATCGTTCACATGTGCTGCGCAGTGGGACCCCGACCCCTGCGGCATCTGTTGGATCATGTTTCCACAGGCCTCGTTGCGCTGCACTGTTGGGTGCTTGAGCAAGCTGGAAGCTCACCAACAAATGACATGGAAATGGGATGGCATGGGGTGGCTGTGGGTAGCCGGGTAGCCTGAGTCCCATTCCGGGAATGTACTTGGAGTCTCTATATTAATATATAAGATCTTTGTTTATGCACCAGGCAGGTAAAGGGGTGACCACGTGGCACATGGTCGGTTCAACCATCCAGAAGAACTACACGTGGATGGATGCATGAGCGGAACTCCCGCCAGGTGCACCAGCGGAGCTCCGCTTCTGCGAGGTGTTCGCCTCGGTCCCTGCCTCCTGAGCATCAGCTTAGCAAGTCTTGATACAGTGATGATACGGGTGGCCACTCCCCTCACCCTTTCTCCCTCCCTTCGCTGGGCACCCCCCGACATCGTATTGTACCACCATCTGCCTGGGCGAGCGGCGCCCCCGCTGCGTTCGCTCGCTCGCCACGCACCGGCCCAGCCGAGCACACGTGGAGAGCCCTTGAGAGGAAGGTCGGTCGATCCGCTTGGATGACCAAATGCTTGGACTTGCAGCAGTGCACTGGCTGTCTAAGTGAAATGCAACTTACATATATAGTGATTGACGGGCTCATTCCCATGAACCAGTGGCTGAGAAAGGGAAGGTTGGAGAGAACGTCTCTGCGGGGTTGCTGTTTGGAGAATGACCAGCTCCAGCATGGGACCCTCAGGTAGGATTGGAGGAGAACAATATAAGGAGGTGTAAGGAATTATAAGGAAAAACCTATAAGGAAGGGTAAGTCTTCCAAAACTAAAATGACAACTGGACCAACTCCCAGTTAAGGGAGTTTGGGTCAGAGTTCGGGTGTCCATCTCTTTCTGCCCAACATCCAAGGTGACTGAGGCGGCCACTGTTGCCCCTGGCTTGCGGCGCCGAAATCGCGCAGAAAATCGAGGGAACCACCCATCCAATGAGCAATGAGCATCTGAGAACTGATATGCAGATGTTCAGGTGATTAACCAATTGACTGCCTGCTGTGTGTACGTGTAGTTAGTATGTATATATATATATATGTGTATATGTCCAAATCCCGCTTACAACTACAACGCCTGAGGTTGTATCTTTAGGTGTAAAATCCCTGGAACACGTTGATAGCTGGTCATGTACCTTATTGCATGACAACGAAAAAGGAAAACAAAAGTGCCTGGCCCATCATCATCTGCTGCTGCTGAGCCTGAACAAGGAGATTCTCTGAGCTTCCCGGGAAGACAAAGTGTTGCCTTGTTTCCAACTGTTCGCTTCAAGTGGTGAAAGCACTGCACCAAAAGAGTTTCTTCAGGATATCCACTTAGTGGGTGAGTAGGTCGTGTTTGCTTTTCGCATCTTTTTCGCCCAAGACGTCTCCTTGTTTTGGACCCACACAGGGCATGCTGTACAGTGATGAATCAGGCCATGGTGAAGCTTCATACCATCGACCACATGCTATATTTCTGGGTCATGAGCATGCGCCTTGGTATATGGGTGTGCCTTAAGACCGGGAGACCTCCAAAAGACTCCCTGGAAGAAGGAAAATAGATCAAATACCACTCTCGACCCATCAGTTCCCTGCAAACTATACAGTGGCTTAGTCCAACCTTTTCTTAACTTCATTCCTTAACACGTTGTTCCATCCATTTGTTTGCGGACACCGATTCCTGATTGCCCCTGCCAAAAAAGCTGCATACAAACTGGGCCGATCTGGCACCGGTCTTAGTCTTCGTCGTCCGAAGCGTCGTGTGCGGCCACGGCCTGCATTTGCTGTTGCTGCAGTTGTTGCTGATACTCTGCCTGCTGCCTCAGCCACTCGCAGACTCGGGCAGTGTGTGGATCCGCATGGATCCGCAATGATGCAGCAACCCCTAATGTTGGGTATATGGTCTTCAAAATGATTGAAATCGGATGGGGATGTGGCAGAAATCGTCTCCCGTCTTTTTCAGAAGCAGCACCAAGCTCCAATCCCCAATCCCAACTGTTTCTATTCTACTTCAGGAAAGTGGTTGCAATACAAATCCGAGTTCCTACACCTCAGCACTGGACTCTTCTTGAACTTGCTTATTAGGTTAATCAACTTCCTTTCGGTCACCGATCGACGAGTCCCTAAGCGCTGTCTTTTTTTCATCTGAGATGAGCTTCCCGAGATGAGAGCCGCAGCCTCTTTCTCAGCAAAAAGCAACTTAACGTAAGAGGACATCTCTGGAACATCTCACACAGCTCTCTGGTGTCAATCTCCAATCTTCCTTGCAAACTCATTTTGATGGACCCAAACAGCGGCATACATTCCCCCGTTCCATCCGTTTCCTGTATTCCGTGTTGAGAATGACCCCAACCCAACTCATGAACTCTCTGCCTGATCAAGGTTTCATGATAACCCGTCAACCTTTTTCCCAATGCTTGGCTTTTCGCGGGGTGTCCTCAAATGTCCCCAAAAGAGGTGTTTTGGTCGATGGTTTTCATGTACCCGAAAGGCTGTCCTGCCTGGTTTCATGGCTAAGGTTGGCGTCCACCGTCCAGTGGGATCGACAGTGCCCAGGTTCCCCCGGTGTCCTGCAGGTGGTGTTAAGCCACACATGCCACATGAGTCACATGAGTCCTTTTTTTGTTGTCCAACCAACCAACCAACCCACCCGCCCGCCCACCCACCCACCAACCAACCAACCTCGGGAACGTTTGGACCAAGTGACTGCATCTGCTGTTGCTGCATCTGCTGTTGCTGCATCTGCTGCTCGGCCGATTGCTGCGGCGTCACAGGGCCCGGCTGGAGGGGCACCGCCTCGGCTTCAACCGCTGCACGTCCCGGACGGCGCACCGGGTCCGCTGAAGCACCGCTGTTCCGCACGAGTCGTGCGGAGGGCAACTCACGGGCTGCCCGGGCGTTGCTTGAGGAACCCGGAAGAGAATTGATAGACATAGGATGATGCAAAAGGGAATCTTCACCCATGAACATAGACCCAGTGGACCGAAGATTTAGCTGTATCCCAAGCCCCCAAGCTTGAAGTCTGTGCTTGGTCCAAGCAGCTTCTTGCTTGACATCACTCTGCGCCTGCGCCAGCGTCTGGATGGCTGTCTCTGCAGGTGCCTAAGGAGCTCCGCCGGACGGAGGGCGACGCCTCCCGATGGATTCTGGAGAGGATCTAAGGAATACAACCACAAACCAAGTTTCATGAGGCGCTTGATGCCTTAGCTCAGAGCTGAGGTCGTTGATGCCGTTTGGTGGAACGCTTCATTTGCTTTGTTCGAGGGCTGCATGTGTTGTTTCCTTAAGCTGGATCTTCAGTTTCCAGCTTCAACTTGGCGGAGCACTTCATTTGGATTGCTTGAGAACTGCATGTGTTGTTTTACTTTCTCGGTCCTTAGGTTTCTTTGTGGAGCCCTTCGTTCGTTCTCGGTTCGAAGCTTTGTTTCGGGATGAAGATACAGTGTCTGGTCCTACGGGGCTGGCCACTTCCAAAAAGAAGACAATACAACCACAAACCAAACGACGGATCACGAACAGCAGTGCATCTATACTCTGAAACCATGGTATATGTTTCTTGGAGTAGAAAAGGCTTGTTCAATGGACCAATGGGCAATGATGGGCGTGGTCTCACTTCTATTGCCCTATATATATACCAGAATCTTCCAACTACTACAGTAACCTTTATTTGCCTTTTGGATGGTTTTATAGATGAAAAACAACATGCCCAGTGGGAAGCTCCAGGTGTAGCAGGGCTCAGAAGGTGACAGACTCGATCTGGCACCCACCCCAGTCCGAACCCAACAAGGAGGTAGCCCAGGAGCCCTAAAGGGTTTGATCAACTCGGTCAGACGCTGAGCTTCCCTTGGATCCAAGCAGCTTCTTGCTTTGCTTCGCCGGACGCCGTTGGCGCCGGCGCCTCGGACGGCGGCTCGGCCGGCGGCTCGGCCGGCGGCTCGGCCGGAGCTGCAGCTTGTGCCTCACGAGCCGCCGCCGCGACGGGACGCCCAAACACGGCTTGATCAAGGCTGGTAGATGTTTCTCTCCTCCCGTTGGAGACCAGAAACGCATGACACTCAGAGGATCTGTAGTTATACATCCTTAATCATCCATATAATGCTTCTCCCACTTGGAGATTCTCCGTGATTGTTGAAGTGTTCCTTATGGACCAACATCTGGCCGTTATAATGCAAGTCAGGTGGGCTAAAGGCCGTTCTGTTTGTGAATCAGTGAGAACTCCGACCCCCCCGAACGTAGTAGTACAGTAGTGACTTCATCGATGATTTGAGGTCGCCTTTTTGAATCCCACCCACACAAAACCTATACATCTAGAGTACAGCTTACATGGGGGGAAAAACGATGATATCGATTTTGTTTGACGCCTTAGGCGGCCTTCCAATGCAGCAAGCCTCCGAAGTCTGTGGCAGTACAATACTGACTCGCAGAACTTGAAGACCAAATGCAAGCATCCCCAAATGGAATCCCTCCAGGAAACATAGCCAAACACTCTTGGATCACTGACACTAATTCAGGAAACTCAACAGCAAACACCACCCTTATTGACTATAATTAGAAATCAACATGGCCCCTTGAGCTCTGCACCTGCTCCGCTTTCAGCTGTTCCGCCAGCCGCTCCTGCTCCTGTCGTTCCTTCTCCTTTCGTTCCTGCTCCAGTCGTTCCTGCTCCTGGCGTTCTTGCTCCCTGCGCTCCTGCTCACGGCGCTCCTGCTCCCGGCGCTCCTGCTCCCTGCGCTCCTCTTCCATTCTCTCCTGCTGTTGCCTTTGCTGCTGAGCCAAAAGCTCCTGGGGCATCGCTTCTTGGAAATGAACTGGGGGAAACGAAGTTGCAGCAATCGATTTACATCTCCGGCGCAGCTGGAGGACATGTGGAACCCCTCAACAATTGGCTGATACAGTCTGCATCTTCTCGCACAAACGTCCATTGGAATTTTCCTTCACCAAAAAAATGCCGCATGTGTTCTTTTCCCTAAGGGTCCAGGACCATCCGAATCGGATGTCCTTTGGCCCCAAAGACCATTTTCAGGAAGTACGGACTCACCTCCGTTCGACCATCCTCAGGATGCTCCTGGACCCTTAGGGTTTGTTTTAACACGGATCCTTCACACAAACATTTAAAAAAACCCACTGCCACCCACTGCCACCCGCTTCTCATCCCCCTTCCACGCTCTCCTGCTCGGCGCGTTCGGCCGCCTCCCGCCGCAGCCGCGCTTCCTCGCGCTGCTGCGCCATGATGCGCTCCTCCTCCGCACGCCGGGCCTCGGAAGAAGGGGGGAGTCCACGTGCTATGTGTACCTGATCCCGGCTGATCCCAGTCACTCGGACTAACATGGGACAACCACATGACCCGGGACCCAATAAAACAGGGACGGTGACGTACTCAGTTTTCCGGGAGACGTAGTGAGACTCCAGGTATGTGGATGTCAGGGTCTCCCTGACGGCTGGGTAGACTGGTTGATTTCCAGCACACCCACGAGTCGGAAAGCCTGGGTTCTGGTACACAGACCCATGTGCCGAACTTGCTTGTACAAGACCAGGGGTACCCCCTTCCCATAGATCTAGTACAATGAAAAGGCCAACTATGAGTGGATCAGGGTGGGGGGGGGAATGCATTTTCTGAAATTTGACCATTGCGCACCATGGAGTTGAAGAAAACCCCGACAACAGCAAATGTTGCTTCCACGCATGTTTGTTGGATATAGGGGATGCATGGGGATGCTATAGTTGCTATTGCTGAGGCATCCAATGATGATTGGACTGTGCGTGAGTAGGGGACAGCCTAAGGATGCAAAAGGCTTTGATAAAAGCATGATGTCTATGCTGTGCTGTATTTTAGGAGCTACCGGATATGTGTTATGAGTCTTTGCAAAGCAGCAACTTGGCAATTGTTGAGTTCACCCACACACTGGAAAATCTCTAAGCATGGCCCGCCAATACTCTGTAGAATGTCTGAAGCCACCCAAACAACCCTGCTGAGCTCCGCTCTTGCCGCTGCTGCTCCGCTAGCCGCTCCTGTTCCTGTCGTTCCTTTTCACGACGCTCCCTTTCCTTCCTCTCTTGCTCCCGGCGTTCCTGCTCCCGCCGCTCCTGCTCACGCCGTTCCTGTTCCCGGCGTTCCTGCTCCCGCCGCTCCTGCTCCCGGCGTTCCTGCTCCCGCCGCTCCTGCTCCCGGCGTTCTTGCTCCCGCCGCTCCTGCTCGCGGCGTTCTTGCTCCTTACGCTCCTGCTCCTTGCGCTCCTGTTCTAGGCGCTCTTTTTCTCGGCGCTCCTGCTCCAGCCTCTCTTGTTCCCGCCTTTGCTGTTCTAACCGCTCCTGCTCAGCACGCTCAGCTGCCTCCCGCCGCAGCCTCTCTTCCTCTCTCTGCTGCGCCAGTAATCTCTCCTCTTCTGCTTTTCGGGCCTGCGCCAGGAGCCAAGGAAGTGGAGTGACAGCATGATGTGGTGAGGGAACTGGGAACTCGACGAGTGGATGAAAGCCGATTGTTCTGAAGGGGTGGACAAAAACGTGGACAAAAAACAGGTGAAAGTGAGGTCACGGCTTCTTGAATTATACAGTAGCATACAGTAGCTATATATACAACCTCTGGTCCGGCTGCGTGCAAGTCGGTGCTTGTTCCATTGTTCGTTGGTGCTGCTGGAGATGGCAGAACAACTATTGCTCTCAAAGCCTCAAACTTGCGCGGATTTCCTTAGCCATACCACTTCAAGTTAACTACCACCCTCCAACATTGAAGACATTGGCAGTAAGTTGAACGCCCTAGTCCAAGCATTGCCACCCCGAGGTAGACAATTCTAGGCCTTTCTGGGCACTGGACAGTGAAAATGCACTTGACATCCACGATCCCTAGACATCGAGCAACGGTGCAGGATATCATGTTCCCGTTCGACTGCGGCGTGTTAGACACCCAGGGCTCATGGCGCTTACGGGGCCTGAGGCCAGGGAGCTACCAGTAGCATCCTTGCTACTAGTAGTAATGGCCTCCAACCTAAATGACCTCCACCCTAGTAGCTTCTTGTTCCTAGTGGTAATGCTAGGAGCTACGAACAACAGCGTCCTTGCTACGAACGTAGCGTCGGGCTCATGGCACCGATGGGGCCTGAGTCCTGGGACCTCGCTGGGGCCTTACTTTTCGCCCTGTGAACAACTCCTGTGAACAAGTCGTGTGGCTTTCTTTGCGAATTCGGAAGAGCTTTGATGTCCATCTCCCTGGGCTCACAAAGAGCTTGTGATGCCTTGAGCAACTAAGCTGCAAACGTCTGAGTCTCCAGGGAAACAAACAACATGTAGGAGTACTTGATGAATGAAGAATCGTCAACTTACTTCCAATGTTTCTGTAACAGCATCCTTTCTTCACCAGTCACCGCAATGGCTTAAGGTCTTCCAAAACCTGAAGGGGAGGACTTGAGGGAACTACTAGGAGCGAGTGTTGGATGACAAGTGCCCTGAGGCCTCTGGCATGCCAAAACCTCATCCTTTCGGGTGACTTTCAGCTTCGTCAATCTTCCTCAACCGGCTGGTCCCAGTCCAGTCCACATCCCGCCACCTGCGCCACCTCGCTCCGCGATCTCCGCACCTGCTCCGCCTTGCGCTGTTGCTCGGCGAGGCGCTCCTGCTCCAGCCGCTGCTGTTCCGCCAGGCGGTCTTGCTCGGCCTGCAGGCGTTTTTGGATGTCGGCGATGGACTTGCCAGCCCATTCATCACCCACGACTTAACTTCCCGCCCCTGAACCCACCCTCCCTGGAATTATAAGACATCTCACATCTCTTCCAAAGCTTACTTTCCTGGGGGGCACCGGTGATATCAGGAAGTGGACCCTTCACAATGTCTTGTATTCACTTCAATTGGTGCCCGCTTAACATGTATACCCTTCGCTTGGATCATGCTAGTCTAGTTCCACATGCAATGCTCAGACCACCTATAGGGAAGTCACTGAGTGGTCTCGAAGCACCTCTTTCAAAACAGGGGCTCCCTATCGACTGCATCGACCAAAGTGTGTGCCTTTGCAGTCACCCATCGCTATCCATGGGCACCTATAGCCGCAGGTGGCCTTCTAGTCGAACGATCAGGTTTTTCTTTGGGTGACTGGCTAAGTCAAACCAAAGAGTCTGAACAAAAAGCAAGGCTTTTAAAAAGACACCCAGGTTTCTTACCACCCAAGGTTCACTGTTGTCTAACACCCATGGTTTTCCAACACCTGACGACGTTCGTTGAGTTCGTTCGCATTCCACACCAGCAAGGGGATAAGGAACATACCGATACATAGATCGCACCCATGAATGGGCTGGGGCGTTGTTAAAAGGAACGCCCAGCCCGGCCCAGCAGTCATAGAGGGTGGTTCGTAATCATGTGTTACCCAAAGTCACCAAGTCGAGTGGATCATAATGATTAACCCCAATCCTCCAAGTTCGGCATCCCTTTGGAACTACTGAAGATTGACGGATTGACGTCATCGATTGCTTGTAAGCCCCACGTGTGAAATCGACGCCAGCAAAGTGGCCAAACACAATGCAACTACATGACAGCAAGCTTGTTAAGACAGAACACACACATATATATATATATATAGGACACAAGCCACCAACCGCGTGTGGAAGCTTAGACTGACAAAAGTGGGTGACCTAGACCTCGTGTTGATCAGACAGTAGCGACGCACACCTCAAGGCAAAAATCTGCAGCAAACCCAGGCTTCCAGCGGTCCAGCACACATTCAGTCTATCCTATTTTGCTCAATATTATTATCATTGATTCTCCCGTCTGGTTATAATCAAATACGGCTTCAATATCTTGAGGTTACGGATGGTTCGGGTTAATGCTGTACTCACACCCCTTCGTCGTCAATCCAAGTCTAACATGCAAAGGGGCTGAGACCCAACACGTCGACCCATCCCGTGCCATTTCCCCCGAAACGTGGATTGGCTGCTCCAGGAAGCCAGGCAACAACAATGATTGGCAGCTTCCCCGTGCCGGACAGAACCCAGAAACAAAGGCTTCATCACCCTTTTGAAATCACATCATCCAGAAAGAAAAACATCAACAAACAAGAGTTCTCAGGCTCTTCCACCACGTCTTTGGCTGCATAATCCATGAACACCAATGAAGTACAGCGATCGCCCTGTTGTTGGAACCTGGACCACACATCGCTGGTCGGGATTTCTTCACTTCGCTTACCGCGCGATGGCTGCGATGCCATCGCCGCCCTCCCACCTGGCGTTGCTGCGCGGCGATGTGCTCCGCTTGCTGCTTCGCCTGCTGTGCAGAGTGCTGCGCGGGGTACCTGCGTCGAAGCAGGTCGGACGAATTCGATCAACCCCAAGACATCCATGCGGCAGGGACTGGAATAGTGACTTACATTCGGGTCATATGTAACTATATTCCATACATGGATGGTCTGAGAACTGTCAAACTCCAGATGGTCCAACTGGTCAAACATCCATCGATGGTCGAACGCAACAGGACATGACCCAGACATGACCCCTGCTTTTGATGGGAAGTTTGACCATCTTTGAGGATATTTTGGTGGTCCCAAATAGAGGTCACTCAGGTTCTGGGAGTACCAGGAGTTCCAGCGCTCCAAATGCGGTTTAGACCCCAACTCACGAGAATGTGGTTTCAGAGTAGATGGTAATGTGCAAGTTTGGTGGTTTAGATGGACCCCCTTCTGCCTAAGACCTCTTGGGCTGTGACATCGAACCTCTGAAACCACTAGAACAAAGAAGGAAAGACCTGGTGTAGATCGCTCCCTTGTTCAAGATGACCCTTATATAAGTCATGGGAAGGCCAACGGGTGATTGTATCGTGGAACCTCTCAAACCGAAAGGATCTGCGGAATCGCCGCTGTTGCTGCGGCCAACCTTGGTTCGAACAAAACGGCCCGGTGGGCACCGAGCAGGCTCCATGGTGAACTTGATTTGGATGGTCTTCTTTTCGGCCTTTGGCTTGTCCTCAATGATGATGGGCTTCTCCTGTGGACCCACAACAGCTCGGTCCGCTTTCTTCCGGTCACGCGTTCTGGAGTCGAAGCGTGAGTCTCGAGCGTTGCCCCGTTCTGAACCAATTCACCAAGAGGTGAACCCCAGTCCAATCTGCTTACAGTAAGTCCAAATCCCAATGAGATTCAACATGATTCAACTAATTCAGGTGTTGACCTTGAATCAATTGAACTCAGAAGTTGTTTCTACAATTGAGATGAATTTCCGGCTCCGGTCCGCTGCAAATCAACTCGTCAAGTCCTCGCTTGGCTCTGGAGGCTTCTCCTGGAGGCTCGTTGAAGGTCCCAGAGGTCTCGTTGGCTTTTTGGTACTGAGCAATCTGAAAGAATATTGAATATACACCCTGCGATTGAAACAACCATGATTTTGAAGGTCTAAATGCCAGACAACCATTGCTGTACTAAGGGTTATACATGAGCATACACCGCAAAACCAGCTAAAACATTCCTTCAATGGTCTTTGAAGGCTAATAATACAAATGTTGACACTGGTCAGTGGATAGTGTTCTTCCACAAAAAAATCAGGGAGCATATTGGAGCATACTACGTTCTAAGGCCAAAAAAGGTGTTGAAGCATCTGAAAATCCGTTCATTTGGCCTTAGCACGTAGTATGGGATTCATTTCAGAATCCATTTCCCTCATTTATTTGAGAATCCATTCATTTGGACTCAAAACCTTTGATTTCCAGACACATCCAAACACCTTCTCGGCGATGGGAGGCTTCGCGTCCGCCTTCTTCCTGAGCACCGCCGTTTCAGCGAGACGGCGTGCGGCGGAGCATGTCGAGACGGCGGATGTTTCCAGATCCATAGGGCGTCAAGTAGCTCCTCAGGTTAGGTATGACTGGACCCGACGGTTTTGGCACTTTGGCGCCCCCGGTCGTCCCACCGAAACGAGTTCGGTACGACTTTTTTGCGGAAGTGGTCTGAAAGTGGCTCTGATTGGGATGAAGGCGCAAACCACTGCGAAACCGAGCGGAACTCGTTTTTGGGTGATGCTCAACGGCGAAACCTGGCGTACACTCCGAACACATCACATGGAAGTGATACCGCCGAACCGCCCGAATTCGTCGTCTAACAGGTTTCCGTCGCCTTCCTTTCAGGGGACCCATCCAGTTCCATCTGCGGAGCATACACTGAAAGACTGGAAGTGGAAGGTGCCAGCGTGCCAAGAGGTGCTGCCACGGCTGCCACGGGGAGCTTCCTGATATATACTTGTAAGCTTCCCAAGTGGTGTTCCGAATAGTCCGGAACTGTCCAATGAACAGGTGGCCCTCCCCCTGATGAAGAGATCTTTCTCAAAGCCTCAAATTCGCAAAGTGGATGTGCCCCATTGCCATATATTTTTGCTAAAGCAAGGAGAAATCAGGTAGCCATAGGTAGCCTAAGACTACCTTTCGTGATCAAACAGCCCATGACGTGTCACCCAAATTTCATCAATGTGGCCTTTACTGACGGATGGGGCTATGTCTATGTCTTTCTTGTCCTCCCTTCGAGCAGATGGAAGGACACCTGAAACCACAGAACATTGAAGTCGAAAGTCTTAACACCACTCAACAGTAATGATTAGTCATGGTTCGTATATTTTGAAGACGCCTGACATCATTCATGGGACTCTCTTCCATACTCTGTGCGTAGACATGTAATATATGCAGTAAATATGTATAATATTATAATCTATACTAGCACCCTCCAACAGGCTGTTAGTTGAGGGTTGTTGGACCCTAACAGGTCTCAATTGGTGACCTGTTGGAGGGTGCTGGTAGTTATATGTAATATTGCAACATGACAAAATCCGTCTGGGCCCCCGCATGTCCCTATCCGCGGTCCGTCGCGGTCCGAGCGTCTGCTTCTGCATGAACATCTGCTGTAGCTTCTGAAGCTGCAGCAGGGCTGCCTCATCCTGGGCACTCATCTTCTTACCCTGGCGAAGAGGGCTCCAGGTCCAACCCCGAGTCACTCATCCCTGCTTCTCCGACAGCGGAGAAGGAACAAGCGGACAGCATGTCAGTTGGGACGCGGACGTGCCCGACAGTCACAGTGCGGTCCGGGGGTCCGATGAAGATGTTCGGACGTGGGTCTGATGAGACACGAAGAAGGAAAGGGATGAGACATGATGAGACACAAAATACATATGAGACATTTGAAATTCCAGATTGTGCACCTACAGCATGTAATTCTTCATTTTATTGGATGAGCGATCAGGTTGGAACTGCCCTCTCTAGTCGACGGAAGTCAAACAACGGCTGGAAAACAGCTCTCTCGTGCCCTTCACTTTGCATGTCGGGATTTGACCCAACCGGGAAATTCGGAACCGGGATCTTCCGCCCTGGCCACCTGGCTCCATCTTCGACTCCGCGCGCTAAACCCACCGCCGCTTCGGCTCGGATCCACCGGATCCGCCGCTGTGCGACACCCGCCGTGGCGCCTGCGATGAAAGCTCCGCCATGGCCTCGGCAGGCCGCGTGGATGCCGCGGTGCGGCGAAGGCGAAGAAGGCGGAGGAGGTTGGAGGTGTTGGGTCGAGTCGTTTGGCAGTGGAGGAGAGGTGGAGACGTTTTATGGCGGTATTTTGGGAGGGGCAGAAAGGAGGACTTCTCTGCTCTCAGGTGGACCGGCAAGCCGAGCAGTCCAAGCGGAGAGGGTGATGCATTTTGGGGAGTTACGAGGTGGCCAGTGTGTCAATGGACCATGCGAATTTGTGAGAGGATCCACAGACTATCTCTTGGAAGAGAATGCCCAAACACTAGATGTATAGCAGATTTAAAGTTGACCTGAAATGACCACAAAGTAGGTGTACATGTATATATATGCCAGTGCCATATGGAGTGTCTGGCATGATTGACTCAGCTGGGTCATTTTTGGGTGCCTTGCTAGCTCAATCTGAAATCACCCGTGGCTTCATGCGAAACCAACACCCCAGACAATCCATGGTGACCATGGTGGCATACCATCTGACCTACCCCAGACCATCCGTGGGACCGGAATAAATCACCGTACACATGGCAAGCAAACAAGCACCGAGGTGCAAGAATCAAAGGATCGCACGGCTAGCTTCGGATTTTTCCAAGCACACTAGGCCAAGGCCGGAGTTGTACTATTGAGCGCCCTGGTTGCTGCATGCGCTCCAGCCTCCTAAGGAGGCACCTAGGGTGCATATACACATGGCAACAACTCTTCAGTTTTCACCAGGTCTTCATTTCCAGTCCCATCTATGGTCCGGATGCATTCACCAACCACGACCACCAGTCTCTAGCAACTCTAGACGACCAGACCCCTTCGGACCCTTTCTTCTTCGCGTCCGGTGGCGCAGCCCCTGGGTCAGACCACCGGAGTCCAGGGCGGCCCACTTCTGGACCCTCCAACCAGGATGATCACCCAAAACAGGTGGTTTTGTCCACATGATTTTTCATGATCACCCCATCTATTCGTGCCCTTTCGTCTGAGTGGAGCATACTGGGCACCTGGCTCCAATGGCACCCAACATGGATCTGCGAAAAAAAGGACACCAAGAAGCAAACCATCTAGTTCTTGATGCACTTCTGCATCCCAAAAGACTCGATCCATCTGTGGAATACACTGCAATACACTACATGGATCCCTGAATCCACCCTTTTCTATAGGCAAATATTCCGTACATGGAGTATCTGGGCAGGGCATTGTTAGTTTATGCTTGTGTTGGGCAATACAGAATCTGGTGCTGACCCCCTCACCTCAAGATAGCTCAAGCAGACTTCAGCGACATTCTCGTGTTCACTGGGGGTCCAAACGCCTTAAACGACGGGTCGTCTAAGGGCTTCTCCACGTGAACCAGGAAGATCAATGATGGTCCTGGCCACATCTGTTGCGTCGTTGCATGGACCATATTTGATTTTTTTGAGCACAAAAGCTATCGATGGGTGGTTACTACTCACAGGATCCATAAGACAACTCACCCTCAGATGTTGAAGCTAAACACAAGTACCACTTTCTGAGGGAGAGCTACCAGATCAGCATAGGACACCTCTTTTGGGGAATCGAAGTTCAGCCTACTTGGATCCTGCCATTTCATTGACTGCTCTGTTTCACGGCGCCACGAGATGGCAGGCCACACTAAGATGGCTGTGAAAAATGTTGCCTCGGACATCAACATGTTTGGAAGTACTTCACTGAGGCCTCCACCACGAATCTGACTTCAGAAACCCTGCAAGACTGAAGTCAAGCAAGGCATGATGGGTCATGAAAGAAGCAAGGAAAAGTGGAGCATCTTGCACGAGCATCTTGCGGAGCAGCTCCCTGCGGAGAGTTCCTGCTTGAGAGAAGTGTGAGTTTACCTTATGGAATTCTCTACGCTTCAGGTATGTAGGTTGTCCTCCTCCATGGTGTCGACTGTCGCCGATTGTCGAAGCTGCTGTTACCAGGGCTGATGGCTAAAAGATACGCATTGGGATCCTAAAGGCATCTAAAGGTGCACTGGCACAAAAGACTTCAGTGGTCAACACGCACCTTTCGGTCAACAGTAGGGCTTCTGTGTAACACATGTGGCAACTTGGTATGTTCCACCTGGGCAATCAGGAATTGGATGAACTGCAGAAGGCAAAGAATAAAATTCTATGCTAATGTGGCCTGACGGAAGCAGATCGAATGGGCAAACAGGCCCGAACAAGCCTGACATGATGCCCAGAAAGAAATGCTTCAATCACTGCATTGATTTCCTGGGTAGAAACGTGGGAGCAACCTGAAGTAGATAGAAGAAATGAGGAAATCAATAGGGTCTTCTGGTTATCCATAATATGAATCATTGCTATATTGTCTATTGCTCCGCTGACTTTGGGAGTTGCCCAACTTCTATCTACTTCAGAATCAGAATGACTTCAAGCTTGCGGGAACATCTCTCAACCTGGCAGCACAGGCTCTCGCAGGCTCAAGACATACCCTCAGTTAAAGAAACATGGAAAAGCCACTCCCTCTGGTACGTGAAGTAGATACTGGAGCTGTGAATTTTCGATGTTCATTTAACCAAGGGTGTCTCATGGTATCTCTCTGCGGGCTTCACGCCTGTCAGAACGCCTGGGCAAAAGCAACATAATGTTTCTAGAATGTATTCTGTATTCATCTATCAATTCTTTTATATGCTTTTATGACAACGCCGCGAGCCTTTTTGAACGCCTGGGCCGACCCCCAGGAAGCAGAGCGAGCGATGGCCGCGAGCGAGCGAAACTCGGTGTTCCAAAGGTCCCCTGACTCATAAGGCCAGTGGCCTTCAGAACACGAAGGAAAGAGCAAGAGAAACGAAACCAAAAAAAGCACAAACAAACAGCGACACCAAACCGCGCCAGTCAGCGCCTCAGTCCCATTCAGCGCCACCTAGTGACGACTGCTGCTTGTGACGTGCAGTCAAGAATGCATCCGGTCACCGCAAGCAGGCGGTTTAGGACCCTGCCACCCAGCTCCCTGCTACTCCTGGCAGCCTTTCAAGAAGCTCAAGACGTTGCTTCTTCAAATGTCACAGTAGGTGCTTAAGAGTGGATGTCATGTTTCGCCAATCCCAAAGGACTCATGACACGATAACTTCAGGATGATGGAAGAATGATTGGCTGAAACATCATCTACACTTCCTCACCTACTGGTTTTCAATGTTTCAACCGGTCATGGACTCCACTTGAATGTGCAGCCCACGAGAGATGGATTCCTCAAAAGAGAGGAATCCAAGCTATTTGGTAGGTGACTACGGAAGGATTATCGGTGGGCTGCTCATCCAAGCATCGTCACATGCAAGGTTGCAAGACATGCCGGGAAGACCGCCGCCCAGTTGCGAGAGTTAGTGGTCTTTAAAGTGTGCACATGTGGAGCAAGCTTGAGTAAACTCTGACCTCTGAACTCTTGGCTGTTCAACGCTGACGAAAAGTTGTTGTTCGTTGGAGTTGCTCGCTCCAAGCGTAACAAACTCTCGCTGCAGGGACAAGGCTTGATTGTTCCTAGTAACGGTTACTCTACGTTACTCTGTCATTCGTGCGAAAGAAACTAGAAGAGCAGATGTTTGGTGTTTTTAGAAACTCTGCATCACCACTGCACAGCTCCTTGAGTGCGTATGCTGCAAAGATCGTCGAATGTACTCAAGATTCCAGAGACTTCCAAGCTTTTGACCTCAAAATCCATGGGGATTCGAAACCAATCTGCAGTAGACACTTACCCGCGAGGGGCCATTCTGTGAGGTCCCTGGCTACAAACTACAAACACTCCATGTAATGTTGACATGTTGAAGAATGCATGGTCTACACACGTCCGTTCATCTTCATTGAGGCATCAGGGAGTGTTACCCTCTGACTCACTACACGGAAGTGGATGGCATGGTCCCTTGGAAGGCTACTTTCCTTTACGAACGGAGGGTTTTCCACTTCCATGTTAGTGAGTCGGAGTGTATGTTTTTCCCCACTCAACAGTCAACTATGTGCCGAATCCAACCTTGATTGTTCAGTCCCAAGCAGCTCATGGTTGCTTGGGCTTTAAAAAATGTGGGCCACTAATATCTGGAGCCCGAGCCCTTTTTGCATGAACCAACTCGTGACTGATCGAGTGTTGGTCGGTTAATAGATATCAAGAGCATTCAAGAGCATATTGTGGATTGTCAGGTTGACAGGTTGTTGTGAAAGGATGCCACTGTACCACTCACCGATCTTCTACTCCATCCAGAAAAAAAAGATGCTCAAGGACAGGTGCAAAGGTCCAGGCCGTCAGTGGGCCTCTTGTGGAAGGAACCTGTTCACAAAGAGAAGGGGGTTTTCAGATCTGGTCCTGCGCCCTCACCAAGAAGGTCTAAAGGCCTAAGCGTATTCAAAAGACAGAACCTCTGCCGGTTTCTCATGTAATGTGAAGACCTTATGCGACTTCAAGCCCTGCTCTTGAGCGAACTGACCTCACAACGTTCCTCCCGTGACGCTCTTCTCTCCCCACCGTGTTACGTATGGCATAGTAATGCATAGTACAGTAATCCAGCCGCCCCGTGACGTGTGGCCTGTATCCACCAATTGCCGGCCGTAGTCCGCCAGGTTGGAGGAGGTCTGTCAGACCGTGTGGCAGACCGTGGGACCGACGTGCGCTGTCAGCGGGAGTCGTCCAAACCGTGGGGGGCCGTTGGACATGAGACCGACGGCGGAGACGTGACCGGCACAGGAAGCGGTGACTTCGACTGACGCTGGTGGACCATTGCTCCAGGCGACCGCCACCAGATCCACAGAGAACGTATCATTGTCAGGAGACAGGTGTTCAAGCCGTTTCAAGATATACAGTAGATGCATTTAATGATGCATCAATATGACCTTCCGCGATTCCACACGTCAGTTCATGAAGGACAGGTGATATTATGTGGGTGGCATCAGCGCATCCCACCCAACAAAATCCTGACAGGCTTCACATGGTGTTTCAGCCGCGAAGCCGATCATGAGAGGCCAGGTCCGCAAAACCCACAGCTCTTGTCGTCAGGATTTGGGTACAAAACGAGGAACGACCCCGCGAAGCTGTCCTAACGATCGGACCCTGCTTGAGCAAGCGCGTGCATCCGCGCTTGCTTCCGTCCTCATGGCTCATGTACTTGCTTCATGCACCAGGGGCGGGGCGGTCCTCGGTCCTCATGTCAGTCCACACATCTCTGAGAGCCGTTGATGGATTCCAGAGAGTTTCAGCCCAAATCCTTTTGGTTTAGAAGGGGATTCCTTACGAAACTTACGAAACCACGAATCAGGTTTAACCCCCAAAAGGACTCAACTAGCTACTGAGCAAGCCCCTACTGCTGCGTGCCCTGAAAAGGTAGCTTGAGACCCCAGTCCCTTAGTATGAGAACTTCAGAAGGCTTCACATGTGTAAAAGTTGGGATCATCGACGCAGTACAAGTGTGCCCATGCCGTTGCACCGTTGAAGCAATCCAGACCATCCATGGGACTGGAATAAGTGCATGATGTAAGGTCCATCCATTTACCCCACAAACATGACCCTAATGTATAGGCACAACCAAAGTAAAGAAAGTTCCTGAACTGGTGTCACCTAGGACCTAGACATCCTAGACCCTTTTCCAAAAAGCTTTATATAGAGAATTCCCATTTAGTGGGAACTCGAGCTATGTATCTTTCGTCACCGTCTGGGGGACCCCCTCCCAGCCGCAACCACTCGCTGAGTCGTCGCGCATCTTTGGTGTTGAAGAGCTCTTCGACCTCGTCGCACCGAACGCCCGACGTACGAGCTCTTCGCTCGTCTCGCATTGAGAGATCCGAACAGGAGCTCGGTGTGTTCGGAGAGACATCGTGAGAACTCCTTGCAGGATGCTGCAGACCAAAACGACTCTTCATCACTGGGTAGGGTTCTGCTTTTTTTGATCTACCACCGGACCGTCAAAAAGCTGAGACACAACGGTCGACCTGAGTGAGTGTAGTCATCTGAGATCGTCCGTCTCGACCACTCCTCCAAAACCTGAGGCTTCGGGCATTGAGGCCCTGACTGTGAGCCTTGAGAAAGCGCGGTCACGAGGTCTTCACATGTTTCCAGTACTGAACATACATGAATAGATGTGAATAGAAGTTCCTTCATGTTAGACTTACGGCACATCCAGCACAATCCGGCTTGGGAGGAGCACGTGGGCCTTTTCTGTTATATTTTTATGTTTGTGTCAAAAGGTGTCAAACATACGATGTAAAATCCGCATTCCGTCAGTTTCAAAGGGGTGCTATCCATGGAGGTTAGGTGCCCGCGTCACGTCCACGCACTTTTAAACACCACCCAACTCCATGTACCTCATGATTCCGGAGTCTTCTTGAGTTGAACTTTGTGTCCCTCTCATCTGCCAGGGTCACTCATCCTGAACCTTGCAAGCCTTACATCATCCATGATCCAGTTCCATCTGGCGCTTGGTGATGGTGTTTAGACGCCAACCGCATGTGTTCTTCATGAGCATCGCGGCATCGCTGCTCCATGAGAAAGCACCCCAAGATGGAACTGCTGTGTTTCTTACGATCTATCTTGACATGTTTATTCATTACTCATTCTCAAGTTGGGGTGATGCAATCTCAAGACATCAAGAACTTGTAGCAAAACTGCACCTGCGCCAAGCCTTCATCCTAATTTCCCTCCTTCACTGCCTCCGACCCGAAGGCTGTCTGGCCGTCCAAGGCACTCGCTTGGTGCGCCGCTGGGGCTTCAGCTTGCCGCGCACCATGGTGGCCGAGCCCAGCAGCCCCACCGAAGTGGTCATGGCCAGACACCACTGGACCGGTGGGAGCAGAGGGAGCTCCACGAGGCGAGCGTGACGACGTGCGATGGACGTGGAGACGTGACCCCGGTCGTGTCCACGGGCAATGGGCGTGGGCTGGGCGAGTTTCGGAGGTTGGTGCGCTGGCGCCCTCAGCCCAGGACCGACGGGGGTCGAGCGAAAAACGAGGTCGGTGCCGTGCCATGATTGTATCTGATTTCTTTTTCTGAGAGGCTCATGGGGGAGGTTGGGGTGGCACTATGTTTTCTCTATATATTTCTCTGCCGTTCTTTTCCGGGAAATGTTGTAAAATGTTGTAAAGGTGATGAAGGACTTACAAAAACATGCTGCGCAGAACTTGTGAGCCCAAGCCACAGTAGATTGCTTTCACCGCATCCCAAACTCGGCGTAAAGATGACCTACATTGTGCACCACCCAAAACCACCAGTCATGTAGGGTATAGGACTACATTTAACACCCAATACCACCAGTCATGTAGGCTATAGGCTATGCAGTTTCATGGATCGTCATGGGCATGGCTCTGTGCCGTGCGGTTTCGCTCGCGTCAAGCTTGGTGACATCGGCGAGATCAATTCCTTGGGGGGAGTCGACGTCAGGTCGACAGCTTCTCCGATCGGGTTGGTTGCTTAAAAGGGCCTTCCCAGCGCTGCTCCCGAAACGATGGGGTCAAAATGACTGAACATGGCCTGCAATGACCATGCAAGGTAGTTCGCCAATCTAGATGAATCATGATGAATCTATATAGTCTAAAGTCCCACAATTTACCAAAAAATCAGGATCCTCCACATTCGCCACACCTCTTCATTATACGGGGTTTCCTTCGTTTTACACTTTGACTCCCTAACATAGAAGTGGAAAATTGTCCCTTGGAAGACGACTTTCCTTTACGAAATCCGGGGTGTGCCATCCACGTAACCATGTGGCCGTCCGTCCGTGCGTTCCTTCGTGCCCATCCGTCCTTCCCGTTCGTGGCCCCGTTTCAGCGTCGTCCCTTTTCCGCGTTTCACGAGAGGGACAGCGTCGGCACCTCCATCGGTAGCGTCGGCCACCGGAAGGTCCGCGACCGTCAGTTTGGATTCGGACTGAGCTGGCTCAGTCCAGGGATTTGCTGGGAGGCTGATCTAAAAAACTACAATCCCTAATAGCCTAAAGCCTATTAGTCGCTATAGAGCACGTCTCATTTACCTGGATTTCTAACTCTGCAACATGTGTGCTTTGGGGTTGGTGTTTAGGGATGAAAAGAGTTCTGCATAGTTGGAAAATCCAGGTATCCTGATATGATATCTTTTGATGTTCATGACATATATATAGGTGGATTGATCAATCAAGGAGTCAACATGAATTAAGAGATTCACATAGATTCACGCACCTCCTCCTTCTTCTGGTTGAAGATGCTTAAAGTCGATGGCTGCCAAAGTCTCTAGCCTACCCTCTAAGCAACCTCTTTTTGAGATGTTGCTGGATCTGCTTAGATCCCAAACATGACCAATGACACTGACTTATGTATGCTGAAAAGTTGTTGAACCGTCACACGCTGCTCACCATGCTGCTCACCATGCTGGATTCAATGAACCGCCGCTCCCAGACTCATGTCTCCGCTTGAGCTGCCGC